GTGATGATGATGATGATGATGATGATGATGATGATGATGATGATGGGACGACGATGAGAGTGGTGGTGATGATGATAATTATAGTGATGATGATGATAGCTGGAAAATAACTTTTACATGTTTCACACATTCAGATAACAAATGTAAAGAGGCTTGCTTTAATTTACCATCAACACTGAACTAAAATGAAATCCATCTAACATCTACTATGACCAAGAGCAGTCACAGCCTACACGACTGAGCTATCTACAAACTGAACATAACTAACAATTTGTGAGAGGATAGTACCTAGACTAGACCCAAGAGCAGTCACAGCCTATTCCATAAACTACCACCAAACCTTTTAGACTTCATTAACAGCAAATACAACACTTTGACAGGAGAAACAGACCTCAGACTATTGTGCCCATGGAGCATTAACCACCTAGAGGTCTAAACTACTGATCTGTTTAACCATTAGGCTACCCAACAAACAACTTGACCCAGGAAGCAGTACCTAGAATAGACCATAAGAGCAGTCACAGCCATTCCATAAACTACCACCAAGCAATCTAACTTTAGACTTCATTAACATAAAATACAACACTTTGTGGGAGCCAAAACAGACCTCAGACTATTATTTTGCAGAGTAACCACCTAAAAATAAAAAGTAGTTTGATCTGTTTTGCTTCAAGACACAACAAACAATGTTTTGATTTGTGAGATATTTTATGCTTTATTACCTAGAATAGACCCAAGAGCAGTCACAGCCTATTCCATAAACTACCACCAAACCTTTTAGACTTCAGTTAACAGTAAATACAACACTTTGTAGGAGAACAGACCTCAGACTATTGTATGGAGCAGTAACCACCTAGACCACTAAACTACTGATCTGTTTTACTTCAACTTACATTAGACACAACAAACAATTTGTGAGAGATAAGAACCCGCGATCAGGTTCGATCACAGCCTGTCCCACTCAACTACCTATGACCTTGTTGACTTAAATGCATAGTAAACACATGTAATACTTTGTGAGACGTCACAGAATCCAGACCATCACAGCCTTTATCACAGTAACTAGAACTGGTTATTGATACAGATCAAAGAGATCAGTAATCGTTAACTAAATATGGATTGATTATCGATAAATATTGAAGACATAACCTTTTATGCAAAAATACCAAAAATGTCTGAAAGAAATGAATATTTCACATCACTGGTGAGTGGTGACCTGTTTTTGCATGGACTATTAACAAACCAGCATTCTCAACATTACTTAGAAGCAGACCATGAACAAAGTCCTACATTTGCATATTGTGTGTGAAAATTAAAACACAAAAGCTAATGTGTGATATTATAGATAACACAATTTTCATATCGATAATCATTAATAATTTTTCCGATAGACGATATTTCCAATTACCAATCATTTAAGCCAGCCCGAACAGTAACAGTAGAAACAACAGACCAACATATTGTGTCTGAGAGGTGGGAGTTCAAGTTTCACTATTTTTACAGTCTAAGTAAACTTATGCTCAGTATTATTCGCTACACTGCTATACTGAGTCTAACAAAACCTAGTAGAAGGTCGCTTCAGCTAACCTTTTGGACTGACCAATCAGAACACAGCTTACCAAATCGCGAAAGTAAACATTCGCACATTCCGTTTGAACCTTTACCTCAAAATCTCGAACGATTCCGAATGCTATTTTCCGCACGATCGCATCCGAGTGATACACGCAATGAGTAAACAGTCGCTGAAAATAGCGTTTTTGTCAATATTCAAGGATGTCATCTTGCGAAAATATAAGCAAATAGTAACCATGTCATTAGAAACCCATAAGCGTATATACTGTAGGTCAAATATTTGTGTTTTATGCGGATTTTCGTTTGTTGATAGATCAGTGTCAGCGACCAGAGAAGAGAAAATCCGAAAACTGTTTTGTAAGTCCCGCCGAACTGTAACAAGTAGTCGTTATCTGATTGGTTAAATCCGTTCGGCCGTCTCACATTTGATTGGGCGGTCATAGGTCACTCAAAGGTTAGCTGACGCAACCTTCTACTAGGTTTTGTTAGACTCAGTATAGCAGTGTAACGAATAATACTGAGCCTAAGTTTACTTAGACTGACTATTTTTATGACCCTTGAAGACAACCAGGTGTAGCCACACTGCCAGTCTCTAATAGTAGAGGGGGCGGTGGGGTAGCCTAGTGGTTAAAGCGTTGACTCGTCACGCTGAAGACCCGGGTTTGAATCCCCAGATGGGTACAATGTGTGAAACCCATTTCTGGTGTCCCCCGCCGTGATGTTGCTGGAATATTGCTAAAAGCGGCGTAAAACCAAACTCAGTCAGTCAGTCTAATAGTAGAGAGTGTAGGTAATGTTGTACATGTCCATAAGGCATGAATGCACCCACTGCATGTTCATTTAAGCAAAGAGACTTACATGAGCAGTGAGTACAAACTCATTCCACCTCTCGTAACACTGAATGCGATGTGATCGACAAACCTGCCACACATACTGTGACGGATCAAGCATGAATGATGAAGCTCCAGGTCACACCTTGATAACATCAGAAGTGATTTTTTTTAATGCACATTCAGTTCAATTTGGACCTTTTATCGACTTAGGAACGATCACATAAGATCACTTCAACCAGAAAGTCATGGAGAACCCAAATCAAGTCATAAAGAGGGAGTGTGACATATGACTCCATTCATGGGTGACCTCCATCTTTCACTCAATGATTTCAGATTATTTTACGATGGGTGTGCTGTGGTTCATATGTGTCATTTACTCCAAAATCCATTAAAAGACAATACAGAGCACAATGACTTAACTTCCTTAACATCATGACCCACCCTTTCAACACCCCTCTACATTCACTCCTCGCCCTTTTCCTCATCATTGGATATAGATGAAGGAGTAAGACTATATTAGGAAACATCGTGTTCCTTAGACTAAAGAAGTTGACATCCATAAATTCTCATCTTATATAGAGTGAACAAGAAAACTAGGGGTCTTAACAATTTTGGGGTTATACTTTCACAGCATAAAGACTCATTTCATGAAAACATCCCAAAAATGTTCATGATCCCTAACTTTTCTGTTCAGTATATAAGAACCTTGATGATTTATGACTTACTGTTTCTTCATTACCTTGATTAATTGCTTTTTTAGATATCTTTAGAAAATATATGTCTTTTTCTCTGCCCAAAAGTATCCCAAGGTGTGTACTAAAACCAGACTATTTGGAATTTAAAACTAAGGAGTAATTCCTTGCATTTATCATTTGTGAGTGTGTGAGTATGGTTTTACGCGGCTTTTAGCAATATTCAAGCAATATCGGGGGGACCAGAAATGGGCTTCACACATTATTTGTTAATTTGTAATCAATGATAGATTAACTAAGTGATATTAAGAATAGGGTGTTCATTTGAGTAGTAAAGTTTTGGTTCATTTAGCTTTTCTGTTCCATAAATCAAAACAAAACACCACCCACTCTTTAATTTCCTGACAGAAATAAAGCGAAAGCCAAAAATCGGAAGTGTGATCAGGATAATTTCAGATTTCCTCTGGAAAGTCAGTTTTGAGTTTTGAGACGATCCCTCACCACAGACAGTCTTGAATGAACATTAGCATTATTAAATAATAATGTCAACACAGTGACAGTGTGCTCAGGAATGTTCCCCTAACAAACAGTTCTATACCTACAAGCATGTAGAGTCGTGTGGTGAATAGGCTGTTTACTGCATGTGTATGCAGCATTCATTGAATACTTGTGAAAACTGGAGCTGTATAATGATGGAATGTGTTTAACATGTTTACAGTACCTGTATCTATAGCCAGGCAGAGATCATGCATGCAAGTGTAAGACACATGTTGTAAATTGTGTATGAGTTATATGCCCATTGCCAACCCATCTGTCGTGTCACCCACATTTATAAGGTATGTGTGTGTTCATTGTTTCGTGTGTCTCATTTTGACAGGGAAATTGTTTTCATTTAACACATTTATAAGAGAGGTTTGCATGCATGCATGCATGCATACATGCATGCTTCCGTGTGTTGTTTCATTTTGACATCAGAGAAATTGTTATCATTGAACACGTTTATGAGTGAGTGAGTGAGTGAGTGAGTGAGTTTAGTTTTACGCTGCACTCAGCAATATTCCAGCTATATGGCGGCAGTCAGTAAATAATCGAGTCTGGACCAGACAATCCAGTGATCAACATCATGAGCATCGATCTGCGCAATTGGGAACCGATGACATGTGTCAACCAAGTCAGCGAGCCTGACCACCCGATCCCGTTAGTCGCCTCTTACGACAAGCATAGTCGCCTTTTGTGGCAAGCATGGGTTGCTGAAGACCTATTCTACCCCGGATCTTCACGGGTCACATTTATGAGGGAGGTTTGGCAAATGCATGCATTTGGCTTCCGTGTGTTTGTCTCCTTTTGACATCAGAGAAATTGTTTACATTTACCGCATTTATAAGAGAGGTTTGCATGCTTGCATGCGTGCTTAGATTGCTTGGGTAACTTTGAGTGGGCGAGTGAGTGAGTGAGTGACTTTTAATGCTGCTTTGAGTGAGTGAGTTAGTTGGGTTTTACGCCGCTTTTAGCAATATTCCAGCAATATCATGGCTGGGGACACCAGAAATGGGCTTCACACATTGTACCCATGTTGGAAATCGAACCCGGGCCTTCGGCGTGACAAGCAAACGCTTTAACCACTGGGCTACCTAACGCCCCCTTAATGCTGCTTTGAACAGCATTGCAGTTTGTCATTTTAATGAGGGAGGAAAACCCTAAGTGATACAGTATGTCAAATCTAAAGACATATTTGGAATGAATTGGGATTCGAACCCACAATCATTGGTAAATGGCATGTTGATGCAGACTAGCAAAGAGAAGAATGGCCGGGGCATGAGACACAGAGAAACATACAGTGAATATGAACCCATGCGTCATCTTGAAACTGTATATAACTGAATCGTTTTCTGTTTCATTTCAGGTACCACAACTAATGATGAGCTGGCAGGCTGCCAACCAAGAAACCACAGACCTACAGGATTTGGTTTTGTCTGATGATATTCTTTGAAATGAGTGACTGCTATAAGGTGTGATATATCGGGGAAATCAAGACAAGATTGACAATATTCAGTGACATGAGAGACTGCTGTAAGGTGTGATATCTTGGGAGGAATAAAAACAAGATTGACATTATTCAGTGACATGAGAGACTGCTGTAAAGTGTGATACCTTGGTGGAATCAAGACAAGATGATGAACCCAAGCCAGCCACCAATGACTCCGGTCTGCTGCCTCTGTCAGACAGTGTTCCAGGATCCAAAGGTTCTGCCCTGCCTCCATACATTCTGTTCATCATGCTTACAGAATCTTGTGACAGGAGAGGTTGGATTAGGGGAGATAACTTGTCCTACGTGTGGTTGTCATGTGACTCTCCCTGTCAGAGGTGTGCCTGGTTTGGTTACAAATACACATGTGAAGCGACTCGCAGATAATTACTTAAATGACATAATGAAAAGTCTCCACAACGAACACACAGAGACTTCTGAACCAGACGAAGGGTTTGGGGAACAGTCGGAAGTCCATGTTGGTCACATGACCAGATCTGAGACCTGGCATGGTCATACAGATGTCACTCCACAGACCACTGTTGTGCAGTCAAAGTCGCTTGATGGAGACAAGCAGTCTGGACTTTCCACAGCAGTTTCAAATCCCGATGCTACACAAGCGGAAAAACACGAGAAGAAGAAGGAAGCTTGTCGAGTGACAGGCAAACTCACGTCCAAGCTGATGCACCTGCAGGGCGAGGCTCTGAGGATTACCTACTCCATTGATTCAGTGAACGAGGGAGTTCGTCAGTGGCAGGAGAAGAACATCGAGATCAAGGCTAACATCATGGACAGGTCCCGGATGCTGCAGCATCTCATCAAAAGACACGAGCAGAAGCTTCTAGCAGAGGTGGACAACCTGGAGAACCATGAACAGTTCCTCAATGAAGCTGACAGGACCAAGAACGAGCTGAGGGTGAATCTGAAACGTGTTCTTAATGCTGTGGAGTTCCTGAAACAGATGCAAAACTTTGGGCAGGATGAGGAGATTCTGGAGATGAAGGACTTTCTGCTGGGTGATCTAAAGATTTTGTGCGGTGTTGAAACCAACCACAAAGAATATAAGTTGAAGGTCCCAACAGTGACATCATATGAGAATCTTGATGATGAGTTTGGCAGTTTGATCCCTGTTGAGAAGCAATCTGTTGTGTTTGAGCCTGACACTGGCGAAGGACTAGGTGACATGAAACTTACACAGCTGGAGAAAGTCAAACAAATGGAGTTCACGAAAGCCTCAAGTACAAAACTAAGACGAAGAAGAGCCAAGACACAGCAGATTCGTTTTTCTTCTCCTCAAGGGAGGGAACTGAGGTTCTCATCACCCCAGAGAAGAGCAACAAGGATCATCACCTCCGAGGACAGGGATCTGGAAGTGGAGAAGACATCTCCAGAAGATGATCCTGACGGCCCTGAGGACATTAAGGACCTGCAGGAAACTCTGAAACTGAGGAGGAAGGAGCTGTTGGAAGAGAAACACATGGAGGATAACATGGAAAACATCCATGATGTTCACTTGTTCAGTGCCCACAGACGTCCAGCCAGGGAGAAGAAGAGGAGAGTCCAGTCCTTCAGTGGCAGGCCATCCTCACAGACACGGCTGATGGAACAGGCTGCAGCAGGATTAGAAGCTCCCAATGAAACTGAACAACCCAAGGGACACCAGCAGACAGCCACGCTAGACAAAGCTGGAAGTATTGACAGCATAGAAGGGGAGATAACTGCAGGTCATGACGATTCCCAGGAAAATCCAGCCAATGAAGACATGACCATGAAGTTGAAATATCTTCGTGACAACTGGAGACGGAGAAGAGAGATTCTCAAATCCAGCGAGAGTTCCCAGACATCATTCGAAAAAGCCCCAGGTGATATGAGTCCCATATCACCTGATTCTCCTAAATCACCAGAAGCAAAAGTGGGAACTGAGACCAAGTTCCAGATGTTCCGAGACCAGCTCAGTTCCATGAGACATCACCACATGCCAAGCGGCAACTCTCCACCACCAACATCACAACACATCAGTCCATCGCGCAGGATGTCGGACAGTATGGCCGCTCGCAAATCTTCAACGGGATCCATCCCAGAAGTGTCTGGCGAGATGGACTTTTTATCCTCGCACAGTACCTTTGAGAACGGAACAAATGGCAGGCAGGATACAGAAGGGCAAGTGTTTGCCACGAACGACAGCGGTCTGACCCGTAGTCGACTGCAGCAACTCCGAGCAAATGCCAGGAAGAAGAAGGAAAGATGGAGGTCCCAGACACTGTCATAGACACTGTCATCAACACTGCAACAGAGGCATACAGGTGATCACAGAGGTGTGGTATGTCATGTAATACTACAACTGACTGGAAAATTTGGACATGTACTAAATCAAAGTACTAACGTAATGTGTCATGACAGTCATACTGGATACTATTAATACTGTGTGTTGCATAACACATGTATACCATGTCACACAGTGTTGTAGGACATGGCATAAACTTTGCATTTTCTCGGATATAATGTAAATACCCAACCTTGATCATCCAGAACACAAAATCTCCATTCTGTGACCTATTGGCCACCACTGCTCTGAACTATAGGAACAGAACCAACTGAAGTGGAGGTCGTTTGTGAATGACGAGAAGGAGTTAAACACAAGGGATAGAGCATGGTGAAAAGGCACATTATTGTACTGACAGGACAGAAACTGATATCTGCTCATTCTGCAAACTTCAGCTTGTGTGAAAGGCAAGCCTGGACTGCAGAGAAACATTGGTACTGTATAATCTCATCACTTCAGAAGTTTCCTGTCATTCAGACATCAACCACATGTCACATACAGTCATATGACCTGGTTACACTACTATTCATTGTACATCATCAAACATTTTCATGGAATTTCAAATGTGCTAAAAATGTGTGTACATACAAATGCATGCACCGTCAACTCTCGTTCAGAATTAAGAATGATTTGTACAGAAGGTACAGCAAGGACACCATGACATGGGACAAGGAGGTAGTGTTCTGGAACTGGGTGGTTCGTTCCTGTTTTATTTGTCTCATAGATGTCATGCAGAAAGAATAAATGTCCCTTAACTTCTTTTGACTGGTATATTTCAGGTCAACAGTTCAGAACATACCATTTTGCTCTGAAAGGAGGTAAGGCCAGGCCAATTTTATGTCTTGTTTTATGGATCCGCCGGTCATATTTTTTTAAGAATAAGGAAATTTTTTTTTAAAATTTACCCACTCAAATTGTTTTTTAAAAAGTCCTCATGTTTTAACTGGCCAAAAATGTAAACTTACAAAATAACATTTGGATTGTTTTTTTGCCCCATATAAACTTCATAAATTGCCAAAAATAAAATACTTTTAGTATTTAAAATGGAAAATTATTTTAACTAGTGATTTGTTTTGTTTTGTTTTTTTTCCCTCCTGCCTTTAGGTTTTCTGAGGACAAAAATCCATAAAACAAGAAATAAAATTGGTCTGGCCTAACAAAATATTTCACAATTACAAAAAATGCATGGATCTTTTTGGAACATCCACTATGTCAATTTCTTTTCGTAAGATGAGAACAAATCATTTATATTTTAAATTCATATTCCACCAGAAGGCTTTGGATCAGTCTGAAATACCCATTTTGTTTTGATGAAAGCAGCGACGAAGCAGTTGAAATCCTGGTATGAAAAGACATTTGGCTTGAACCTACGCCATGTTCCATCGTCACTTGAAGTGAGTTGACGGTATATAACACAAATTTCAAGATGAGCTCAAAATATTGTACAGGCTCAATTATTGTTATTGATTGTTAAGAAATGTTTTAGAATAGGGAAATATATGTACATAAGTGTATATAGGCATGTTAACTGTTAACCCTACAATGATACATTAATGCATGTTATCATATAGCAACATACATGATCTCTGCCATGAAGCCTAATAACTTCTTGTGGTGCAAATCACACCAAAATCTGATCTTAGTGCTGTCTACTCCTGCACCAAACGTCTGAGGACATCCCATCATGACAACTTTCAACACTAGCCAATCAGACTGTGGCATTCGCAAGCTTAATAGCTGCAGTTACAAAATGGCGCCTTCCATTCCAGGCTATCCTTTCAAAAACTTTTGATAAGTTTCCCGATTCAAATACTGTGAAACTGAAAAGAAGGGATTCTGGAATAAGCGAGTATGGTTTTAAGATGCTTTTAGGGACCGTTCATAATTTATGGCTGGGGGTGAGGAGGTGATGATGATTTTAAATGGGGTTACCCATTTTGTTCCGGGGATGGTAGGGGGGTCATCAATTTTGTACACATGTACTAGGGGGTTCAGCAATTTTGTACACAATATTTAAAAATTATGCTTAAAAAATATCTGAAGGGGGAGAGGGGGGTCATTGACTTTGTACATGACATATGGGGGGTCACTTACTTTGTACATAAATTTTAGGAGGGGTCAGTCACATTGTACATGCTTCTCCATTAAAATCATCATCATCCCCCCCCAAGCCATAAATTATGAACGGTCCCTTATCAATATTCCAGCTGTGGGGGGGGTCACCACTTTTTGTGAAAGCGGCGTAAAACCTTACTCACCCACTCAATCACTCACTCACTCACTGAGTGGTCAGAAGAATGGTCTATCTGATGTCAGTGTAATGGGATGTCCACAGACTTTAGTGTAGCATAGTGAGGAGTAACACCAGGATGGGGGGAATCGAACCCGGGTCTTCAGCGTGATGAGCGAACACTTTAACAACTAGGCTACCCCACCGCCCTGTGAGGAGTAAGACCAGGATGGGATATGATTGCTGTGGTTCCAATTACATGTCAATATATGTGCCATTAATCATGTCAGTATGGTAAGCATAACAACTTTGAACATAAGGGGGGCAAAATTTATGGATGTCAACTTGTGCATTATGAGGAATGTTTCTGAAGTATATTTTAACTCCTTTCATCAGGTGGAGTAAGAAAATACTCCAAAACGTCCTGGGTGCCATTCCACTTACTGATCTTAGGACTATGCCAATCGTAAACCCTTAAAATCCCAATCTTAGCATGAAGTTATGATTGGCAAACTGTTTCACTATTTAACCGATCTTAACCAAGTCAATTGTAAAGTAAAGATCCAAAGTCTAAGTAGCTCATGGCCAACTTAGGATCACTAAAATCAATCGTAGAGAAACCAAAAAGGCAGCTTTTATTATTCTATGTGAAGAAGAAGAGTGAGCATTACACTGTGACCGTGTTTTTCGAGAATGCTCACAGATTCTAGATACATTATCAGATTATGAGCATTTGGCGTGGTACAGACAAAGGGGAATGATGGTGGACCCCTTCGTCAACCAGAATTGATATTTCCTCAGGAGAAATATTGCTCTTTCTCGCTCGTGGTTTCTTCTCCATGTTTACACTTGGTTCAAAACTACTTCCATCGTCTGCTAGACTATGCAAAGGGAGATAACTCATGCCTCACATTTTTCTATCTCTCGACAAAAAGTCTCGATCTTAGGTTGGATAGGATTGTAACATTGGGACCGGCTACGATCAGTCTAAGATCAGTTAACAGGCGTAACTTTAAGCTAAGACGATTGTAAAATTGGCGTACCTTGCTAAGATTGATCTTAGATGAGATCGGTTAGTGGCATAGCACCCTGTTCCTCATGACACAGAAGTTGACATCCATAACTTCAACCCTTAATGTGTAGCACTTCAGAATGCCACTCAAAGCCTTTGAACATATTATTATGTAATAGAGTTTCTCGAGCACTGGATGAACAAAATCACTATACAGGTCAATGCACATAGACTTGACAGAATTGCTCAGGTAACCACAAAAGTTTGTCTTTTTGAACAATTACAATGTGCCTATTCAGTATATGTACAGTATAGCATAGCTGTTGTATGGGTGATGTCTTAGGCATTGTCTATCTGGCTGTAACAGTTGTATAGCACTGTATACAAGCTGAAGCAATTATCTTTGATGATGATATATGCCTGACATTTCTAAATCTTTATCAATAAATCCACCCATATTTTTTAAATGTGACAAAATATATGCATTAAACAATATTTTTCATTCCAACTATAAATTGATTAAATGTTAAAGATAACTTGATAGGTCACTTATGTACAAAAACAATTAAAGCCAAATTAAACTGTATTTTGATAACAACTTCTGATGTTCGAAATTGGATTTTTTATTTTGTAAGTTTTGGACCAACAACCAGAAATGGGCCAAAATATGTAAAGCACCCCTAAAGTCTGACTTTGCTTTGTACAGTGTGCTGTATGAGAGTTGTTAGGTTTTTTCCTATTTTAGTGATGTTTTTTTTTGTTTATTGTAGCTTTGTACAGTATTTCTGTTTTATCCTGGCATGTTTGCTTCATGTGACAAAAATGGCTGACATGTTTCTCTTTGATGAAGCGCACAACTATCTGACCAAATGCAGAACCCCAAGTTGTCATGGTTACTGGATAAATTAAACATTTCTGAATAGCAAATTGCATTGGTGAAAACATTTGTGGTGGGGATAATTACCAATCTGATAACAACAATTTGGTGATAAAGTCAAATCTGGCCAAATGTGATCCAAGAAGAAGAAAATCAAAACACAAACAAAATGTCTAAAACAAAAGAAAGAAAAAAGGTTACTATTTGACTTTTTAACTGTTGAAATACCAATCAAACTGAACCTGAATTCAAAACCACAATATTCCCAGATGTCTGGCTAATCTAAGGGACGCAACTCTGTTCAGCAAATTTCAGCATTGAAGACCACTTCAGCAACCACAAGATTAGTGATGTTGTTCACTGGCTGAAACTGTTATTTAGATGCTGCCCTGATACAGCTAAATAAATGTTGATGGCGGAATTATATAACATTCACTTGATCACCCAAACTGTATTCTCGCTTCAATGTCCCTGAATCAAGAAAATGTGATCCTTGTATCACATCCGTGTATCACCTTGCATCACATGTTATGCATTTATATATACTGCCAGCGTACACTAATATGGTTCATATTGTACTCTCCATATTTTGCGAACAACATCCATGGCATTATAACATCAAGGGTCAAGGCCTTTGACTGCCGATAATGAACTATGATAGAAAGTTCCCTTGTTTCTGACGAAGAAATCTCATCTATTATGACACTGAGCTTACAAAAAACTCAAACTGAATCACATTTGCATTTTAAACAATACAAAAATACCTTTGCTGAAACATGTTTCTTTGTTTTAACTGCAAATCCGAATTAATAATCAATGTTTTTAAACCAACATTAACAAGTCATGGCTAGTTTTAGTAGGAGAGGGTAATTACTTATTACAAGCTATCCAAATGCTAAAATAAGACATGACATCCTGCTAAACTAAAACTAAATTTTTAACTAATAGATTATTAATAAACTATTAACCAAATTATTGTCAATTGTACTGGTTCAACAAACTAAAAACAGCATTTTTGCTTTGTTATACTTCATGTTTGGTGAACATCAGAAATATGACCTAGCTGACAAAATGGAGTTTAATGGACTTGAACATAACTTGCTGGGACTGTCAAAGCCTGTGTCTGACTACCGGTATGTCTGCAGTAAGCTATGCTTGTTTAACAAAACACTCTTCTACCACGTCGATAGTGCGAAGGCCTGACACAGTACGTCTACCCAATGCGTCGTCCCTTCTCTTTCTATATTCCTAAGTGTCTTCCATGATATCAGTCCTCTTGAAGTCTTTTGTAAGACAGTATTTTCATAATTTTTCTGCCTTTCAGGAAAATATTTCCTCATTTTATAATAACTATCAATATGCAACGTTTCAAGCAGTTCTGTTCTCTCGTTTGTAAAGACTAGTGTATTTTTATGAGTTTTATGTTTTGTTAACATGTTTTTTACATAAACTGAGTTTTTCTTAATATGTTTTCTACTATGTTAACTAATGTGAGATTGAAAACTATATTATCTATGCTTCTACAAATAAAATATAAATTGTATTCTTGTCTGTGTTTCTTTCTGGTCTGACTGGAGTGAGCTTCATGTCCAAGGAAGCTCTCCACCTGTAGTTTATTTTAACAGTATTTCAGTGAATTCTGGGATTCATATCAGCTTCACGTGGAACAAAAAAATGTTAAATAATGCAGTTCAGGAATCCCTAAAGAGAGACAAACATGAGGTACCGGTATTGGGGACCTATTCTGCCCTGATATTGCCAAGGGAGACAAGCATCAGATACTGAGGAATAATTTCGCCCTGGGTGCCTAGTCTCGAGAGTGTCCCAGCTAAGACAGATCTTAACTAGTCAAGACAGGAGTTAGGACATCCTACCATTAGGATAAGACCCATTCTCGAAATGATCCCATCTCTGTCCTAACTTGAGCTACCGATCTTAGCTAGGATAGCGAGCTCTTCAGTCGGCGAGATAGAAAAGCGAAGGGAATTCCCATATGACGTCACAGTTTGTTTTTAAATCCCCAAGTAGATGTCAAAATGTCAAGTTCAAGCGAGATGGCGACCGTAGAAAAGACACCAAGAAAAGTCAACTGGACACGGAACGAGATCGATTGTCTAGATGACGAGGTGCAGAAACAACAATGTATTTAATTTAGCTCCTTCTCATCCGTTGTGACCAACAGCAAGAAGAAACAGATTTGAAGGACATATCAAACAGGTGAATCTAATTATAGATCGCGATCAGCTCGTAAATGTCAACAATGCAATGTCAAAGTAGGACTCATTTGCTCTGTGATTATTTTGCATGAACAAACAAGTACGTTTTCGTCTAGGATTCATTTAGGACAAGTCAGAACCTATCCTAGTATTTGTCCTAAGTTAGGATATCGTAGCACTAGGATAGTTTTCGAGAATAAGGTAGGACACCTATCCTAGAGCCTAGGATCAAAGTTAGGATATCCTAGCGCTAGGATCATTTTGTGACAGGGAACCAAGCATGGGATATTTTTAGTATCTTTTCTGCCCCGAAATCCCAAACAATCACTGGGTAATGGGAATCATATCTATTCTGGAATCATGAATGTTATGAATAGCAGCGATGCAGTAATTATCCAAGCAGTTTGATGAACACAAATTTCATGAAAACAATGGAAGTAGGAAAAGAATACACATCACAATGATCCACAATATACAGACTATCTGGAAAATAACATCTGCAAACAAACAATAAACATTGTCACAGACATCAGTCGAGCTCACATAAAATCTCTCATTTGTTGTCCTACCTTTCTTTCCCCTCAGCTTCTTGTTGATAAAGTCAAACACATTTGGCGGTGTCTCCCTGACAACAGGAGTTCCTGATGCTGCTTTCTTTTCCTCCTTGCGTTTTTTCCTCTTCAGTTTCTTGAGTGCGTCAAAGAGATCCTGATCTCCTGCGATCTCCTTCAGTTCCATGATCTTATCCAGAGACTTGCCTAGAACACACAAACATATTTATTTAGGATATTTGTATAGCGCACATATCCATGCAACTAGTACATACTCAAGGCGCTGATTTTTTTCCTTGATCATTGGATGTCAATCTCAATGGAACATTGTATTATTAATCTCAACTCCCTGGGGATCATACAGCTCTTGCAGCCACTAGCCGCACCAAGTTATTGCGGCTTTCCCCTTTCACAGCAGGGTGGACTGGGACACATAGTTACAGTACTTTGTCCAAGTTTACTGCACGTTGCTGTACCTGCAACTAGGTGTTTGCACGTATTTATGTGGCCACCATCTGGTCATATACCAACGGATTCGTGGGTTTTTTAAGTTCACAGGGTTGTCTACTGTACACTAGGGGTTGTGACAATACTGAAAGAGTCTGCACACAAAGCTGACTCCAATGTTTTTCAAATAAAGGAGAGTGTTACTGATGCGGCTATCACATATCAATCATGATCTTATCAAGACACTGGTCTACCCATAGTGTTATCAAGATGATAAACTAACCCTTGAAACCTGGTACTATGATTCGATAAATACTGACTGACTGACTGAGTTTGGTTTTACGCCGCTTTTAGCAATATTCCAGCAACATCACGGCGGGGGACACCAGAAATGGGCTTCACACAATGTGATTCGATAAATATGCAAAGGAAGTCACTTTAAGCTCCAAATATTAATACAAAGTCTGCATGCTAAATGAACTATATGTAAAACCAGAGAACATATGTAATCAGTGGACATACATAATCCTTAAAAATTTCATTACACATATTCTTTGTGAGGAATGTGTTAACATTCCGCCGGTAATACAAAGTCCAAGATCTGAAGCATGGTCTGAGGTAGCATTGGCGGATCCAGAGGCGGGGTTCAGAGGATTCAATCCCCCTTTGAAAATGACTTATGACCACATTGAAGATTTTTTTTTTTGCTTTGGCCAAGACAATAGGGCTGAAAACACCCACCCACCCCCCATCCCCCTTTCAAAATTCCTAGATCTGCCCATGGTAGAACAGGACATTTGAGACTCATGCTTCCCTCACCTTGTGGCAGAAGCTGAATTGGGACGGGTTCAGCTCGACCTTCACCTCTGACCCCAAGACCTTGACCTGTAATGTAGCCCATTTTGCCATCAGCTTAGAACCAATGCCCTGGAAAACCAAATCATAATTCACATGACAATAAATTCACTGGTAACTGTGAGTCAAGTACTGGTGGCCTTGAAGGGTGGGTCTTTAAAGTTTTGCTCAGGTATTTGCGGCTAGTTTAATTTCTGATAAAGAACTAATGAAACATTCAAGACTGGGTACACAGGCATGTAACACCATCCCCAATGTTTGTTTAATGCTACTAAAAGAACTACAAATGACATCATTACTATTTTGACAAAAATAGGGCGATAAATCAACAAACAAAGCAGACAAAAACATTCTAACCGTAAACCATGTTTGTTTAAATCCACTAAAAGAGATGAAAGTGACAGTGTTTTTTTGTAAAAAAATACAGTAAATTAAGGTTGAATAACCTAAGCTAAATATGTACATAGCCCTAGAACTCCGTGGAGTTATAAGCTAGATAATATATGCATAATATACATAATAATCTATTGTGGGGTGAATATTAGCAGCCTCGAGGGACTGTCAGTTGCTGGCGAGGGACCAAAGGACGAAATGGTGAATGCCAGAGAGGCGTCCTCGGGTGGTGATATCTCTCAGATAGTGATTAGCAAACACCATGTTAGATTTCCAGAAGCATCCTTCCATAATTGTATTTAATGAACAGTTGCCGTGAAGGAGGCGGGGTGGAGGCCAATGCCCTGATTTCGTATGGATTAGATGTGTTGGAGGGTCCAGTCCTACTGCCTTATAGGCGTAGAATGACAGTTCTTATCCATATAGATATGGTGAGTACAGAGAGACTTCTGTCTGATTTGTGCTTGATAGCGGGATGAAAAAATCTTCTGGCTGATCAGCCTTGCTTTGGAGCAGCGTAAATAGATTATGAGAGCTCGTACTGGGCATAGAGATAAGTCCAATGTATCTTGAGATCGAGAATGTGGATGGCGCGGGGCGTGAAATAACCTGTCTGGTTGACCTGGTAGTTGATTTTTTGGCGATGAAATCCCATCTTAATCCCAGATGCTGTGTTTGATTGTCATCAAACTGTATCCTCTCATAATCTAGGCTGGTGAATTCTGGCTGCGTGGCTAGCGATAACAGGAAAACTGTTTCTGTGAGAGAAATTCAAAAGTTGTCGATTCCAATGGTTCATAATCCTCACTTGTGAGGGTGTTGTAACACTACATTCAGATCCCAAGCTGGAAGTGGAACTTCGCTTTTGGTCCTCAATCCGAGGAAAGCAGTAGTGGAGCCAGTAACTCTGGTGACTTTTTGTCAATTTAACACCCGTTCTCATGAAATCACAGAACTAAAAGCGGCAAGATATGTTGATAATGTCGAGCCTTTTAAATGTTTGTTTTGCCGTAAGTAACACAAATAGTCTGCCACTTGAGGATCGCGTAGCATCTCTTGCTGTCAAAACTTGTTTGCTGCATAATTTTGAAACTTTGCCACTTGTCATGCGTACAAGTTACGAGTTGAGTATCGATAAGGCAAAGCAAGTGCCAGCTATTGCGCCCTGGTAAGAATATCCTCTCTTGTTTAAACACATTTAATACAGTCCATCACGTGAAGTTTGAATACTTCTGGGTTTCTGTGCACCTGTTTGGTGTGTGGATCATATTAACAGGTTTGGCTAACAGGTAGCTCTAGTGCGGTTGACCCGATTTCTTGTATTAGGCGAGAGGCTTGCGTTCTGTACACGGCCAGTAGAAGCGACCAAAATGAGTTGTAGGCTCTGTGTTTGGCTGATTTTCTGCCATACTTGAGGTATTATTGCTGGAAGTAGAAAGCGTGCGTGCGCGTGAGGCCTTCCCATGATATGCTTAAATCCGTTGCCCATGCTTGTGGGTCTGGCACTGGTGACACGAGATATGGGTAGTTGATTGTTGAACCTTGTGGCGAATAGATCTACTAGCGGCTCCTGCTTGCTTGATTATCTGTGCAAATATCTCTGTATTGAGCATCCATTCTGTCGGCGGCGGCAGATGTGGCGAGAGTCGTCTGCTAGTATATTCCTGGCTCGGGAATGTGGCATGCTTTGACATGTAGATTTAGATCTTGGATTAATTTGAACAGTTGAAGGTTAGAAGTCAAAAGGTTAAAGTCGATCTAGATTGAGCCTTGCCTGTTCACATAAAGCGCCACTGTCGAGTTGTGGGGTATGTATCATCGGAGTGGCATTCTGTAGAATGTTGCTCCAATGTCTTATGGCGTTGATTACAGCTTTCATCTCTAATGTGTTTTATGTGGAGTTTTCTTTCTAGCTGATTCCATAACCCTGATGCCGTCCGGTTGGTGAGATGAGCTCCCCAACCTTGGGGCGGCAGCGTCTACATATAGATGGGTTTTGAATTCCTGCTCTGCTAAACAAATCCCTTATGAACTGATTAGATTTCTTTGTCCACCATAGTAGATGAGGGTCTGAGATGTTCCGGTAGACTGAATGGTTGTAGGTACCGTCGAGATGTGTGTTGATGAAGACCTGTAAGGGGCGTAACTGTAATCTGCCTATGACTGTCAAGTCTTGGGCTGATGTTAGAAACCTAGTAAGCTCTGCCATTGTCGAAGTGGTAGCGGAAGGTAGAGCTGGTGGAATGATCTGTTGGATCTTGAGCCAGCGGTCTTCTGATGCGACTATCACGGTTGAGATTGGTGATAAATCCCGAATGCCTAGGAGTGCAGATCTTCTGCGATGGTACTAGGTCCGACTTATTGTAAAGTTTACTAACCATCAGCTGTGTTAGTAGCTTTATGATGTGGATTTAACTGTAGTTTGAGATGCTGTGGATCTTGATCTACTTGTATCCGTCGTCGAAGAAGCGCACTCTCATTAGCCCTTGGCCGATGTAGATATGTGACAATCGGTTTAAGTTATCTGCATTGAATAACCATGGGGCTGATGCTATTCGAGATGGGAATTACTTTCCACTGGTAATGTAACCGATCTAAGCGTAAACCGTAGGTATTTCCTGGATTAGGGATGTATAGGGATGTGCAGATAAGCATCTTGTATGAATCTATACTGCCCATGTAGTCCATGGGAGCCCGAATCATGTGCGTAACTGCGGTAGATGTATCATGCTGAACCTGGGTGGTCTGCTTAGATAAAGTCTTGTTGAAGAAGCTCATGTTGTAAATGAGTCTGTATTTCTCCTTGGAGTTTTCTTGGGTACTAGGAAAACTGGGGGAGTAGAAACCTGGTTCGATGTTTCCTTGCTCTATTACTTCTATGGCCTGCTTGGTTGGGAGTAATGTAACAGCCTCTCTTAACTTTAGTAGTTGCTGTGTCTGTACCTCGAACTTGTGAGGGTTGACTGTTAGTGGAGGCTTGGCCTGTGGTGGGATCACGAAATCAGCGTTGAAGAATGTTGGAGACATAGGTGTCTTGAAGAATTCCCCAGTTTTCCCAGTGTGGTGGGAAGCGTCCACCCACTTGTGGCCGGTTATGGCTGGAGCGGCTGGGGTGGAAGACTCCCAGTGCGTTCGAACCTGTCTTTCAGCGTTTATAGTTCTAGGGAACCTCTGGGAACGATCCTGCCTCTTCCTGACCCTCCTCTATAGTTGCCATATGGGCGTGAAAAGAATCTCTTCCCCTGGAACTGGCGAATCTTCCTGTCTCTTGCTCTTTATGAGCCGATGGTGAATTTAGATCTCCCTGAGTATCTTTGTGACGTCTGTCGAATGACACTAGCTAAGCGTGTCCATCGATTTAATCATCAGGACTTCTCTGGAATCCTTGGTGACTTCCTTGGAGACTCTGTCTATTGCTCCGTCAAAATGGATGGGGAAGACCACAGGGGCTGTATATAGTGGAGCTGTAAAAGTTCTCACCCAGTTGCAGGAAAGGCGAGGAAGACCTTGACGACGAGCTAAAGGTCGAATGCTGCTGAGACAGATGTGAGATGATCTGTTAAGAACTGCTGGTCCTTCTTTTGCATGAGTAGGGCGGTAAATCATTCTATCATCTTCAGAATTAGGTGTTCGAAATCTGGTGATAAGTGTCTCATTTATTGTTCTAGATCTATTTAGACCCAAGAACATGCACCTTCGTCATGGTTTCTATCTGAACCAATTTCCGATCATCAATCTTGTAGTACTTGTTCTTGGCATCCGGAGATCAGCTTGTAGTTCTCATCGATGTCTTGCGCTTTGAAGAAGGGTCCATATTATCGCGTTGAGAACTTCTTGCGTGGAAATTTGGCAGATGTGGCGTCTGAACAGCCATTGGCTTTGTTAAATGCTGTATCTAGGTTCTGTGGCTTTTTGCCTGTAATCCGTCAGGTCGATTGGGGGCCAGTGTAATAGCATCTGCATCGTCTTCTTTCATCAGATAAGTCTCGCGCGAAGTGCCACTCTTGGAAGGTGATGAGAGATCTAGATTATTGACCATCAATATCTTATCTCTGCATCTGAGAAAATAATTCCTCCATCGTCTTCCATTCCATCATCATAAATAATAGAGGTTGTTGCTCTTCTGATGTAGGGCACAGTGTGGCTCTATCTCTATATCGTTTGGCGGCTTGTGGAGATCCCTAGTTGTGAAGCTTATGTGCAGACCTGTGAGGGTGATCGGCGTGGTGATATGCGTGGAGATGGCTGCGTGGTGATGGTGATCGTCTTGGTGATCTACATCGATAGGTTGATCTTCTTGCTGCGACCTATGAGGGGACTGATGGTAGCCATGGCTCTTGTGTAGTCCCTCGATGTCGCTTTTAGATAATGGCGATCTGGGTTTTCGGTGTCCTTAGCGAAGCATCAGCGAAACCGTCTCGTCGGTCTGGGGAGCGGTGATATGACCAACCAGAAGGCTTCCGTGTGGTCTGATGATCAGATTCATTATCTGAGTATGATGCGAAGAAGGTGATGATCTTTCCTTGCCGCCAGCGAAGGCCTTGCCGTGAAGCTGTACATCTGGGTCCTTACCGTCGAGGGTGGTCTGTGACTTCCCCGGCTGAGCTGCATCGTCGTGGCTGCTTTCGTTGACGGAAGGGGTGCCCTCTGGGGTGCTGTCGTTGGAGCCTTCGCGAAAACTCGGACACCTGGGATGGCTGCTTCTCCAGTCTGTAGTGGCCTTCCATCATGATCATGATCTGCTTCATAAGATCGTCTGGGATGATCTGCGGCGTAGTAGATGCCACCTCTCTGCGGTGCTAGCGGTTGGAGCCCTCAGCGATCTCGTCTGACATCAGTGTAGAGGCATCAGGCTGCATGGTGATCTCTGCTGAAGTCACTAATAAGCTGTCACTGGTAAACTTCTTGTGGCATTATGTCGGGTATGATGATAGGCTGGTCATCGTGTAGAGGCCCAATTCTGCTGCTGGAGCGATCTCGGCTGAAAGTTCTCGATGACTTACCCGATAGATTTCCCTTTGGAAGATGGCTGCCCTGGGAGTCTACGAAGTCTCGTTGAGAAAGCGTTGAGGCCCTCTTGACTTTGTCTGGCGATGTCTGGGAGGCGGTCGCTTCTTAGAGGTGAAGCCGGACTGCATCCCGATCCCTCTTCCGATGGGGTCTCAAAGCAGAACACCAGGCGGGGAGGATATTCGACAGCAGCTGACTGGATGGTGCAATCGAAGTATCGGCCATGTCTACACCTAGTTTCGTGACCTATCTGCAACCTGCGTCTCAAGGCATAAAAATGATATTTATTAAAGGCAGAATTGGTTAAATTAATGCAGTAACTGCAGCGTGAATCAAAGCGCACAAAGTAGTACAACTAGGGCATACTACATGCTTGGATCCGCGGGAGCGTAATCTACAAATGAGTACAGTTTTTCATCAGCGTAAAACTAGCTGAACAATCGCGAACTCCATTGAATAAACAGTAGAAACTCGATTAATTATCAAAGCAAATAACTGAAGGATACCCAGCTATGCCTTTATGGTAAACTATAATAGGTAACTAACTAAGAAAAAAATACTTTTATAACGAACAGGGGATATGACAAACTGACGGCTATAGCTTAACTGTTTTAAAAGTCCCTAATAAACCTTATATTATCATATAAAAAAGTGAATAGCGAACTACGGATATAACGAACTAATTGCAGTGGTCCCTTGGAGTTCGTTATAAAGGTATTTTACTGTAAGGCGATACAGTGAAATCGTAATTTTAAAAATGTTTCCTTTTGCATCGTATGGTTAAATATAATTAAACCTTAGAATTGAATATAAAATACAATTTTTATAAACACTGAAAATTAGCCATTAATATTGAAAAACGCTTTCAAAACAGAAGTTCCATAATGGATGCACAAATCTTGTCAGTTACATCCATCAGTGCACATTTCAACCAACACTCAGTCTTTTCGCTAATGTTGATACCTCAAAATGATATTGACTTACAAAACCATAAATTTCAAGTGTGGGTAAGACTAAGAGGTGAAAATTACAAGGGTCTTGTGATATTATCATGACTTGAAATTACAATTGAAACTCAACATATTTACAACACTTAGATAAAGAAAGGCACGACTTTGTAATTGGCACACAGATGATGACCTTGACCTATAAGCTGTCACTGACCTTGGTGTATTGTTCCCATTCTCCTAAAGCTGCAGTTGTTTTGGGTGGTTTCCATAGAAACACAGGCAAGTCATCCTCTGAATCTGAATCCTCCCTTTTGATTGGCTGAGATGATGTTGAAGGCTCCTCCTCCTCCTCATCATCATCAGACAGAAGACTGTCATCAACATGTTGCTCTGCAAGGTGCAGAAAGTGGAATGAGTGCTAGAAGATGTAATCTTAGAAATGTCAATTGTTGGTTATGTGTTCAAGAAATCAAACTTTTGACAAAACAGAACTCACCCTGAGGCAGGATGTCCTGGAGCTCCAGAGTCTCTGAGTTCCCGTGAGAGGTGAAGGTCACAGTCACCTCACCGTCTGCTACATCGTCAATGGAAGCAGGATGCCAGACGTCGTCCGAGTAACGGGCAAAGCACTTCCCTCCAACCTGCACATGGCTGAAAGATTGAGTTTTGTTTTAGTTTGTGTATTTATTGCTTAGTTTGAGTGAGTGAGTGAGTGAGTGAGTGAGTGAGTGAGTGAGTGAGTGAGTGAGTGAGTGAGTGAGTGAGTGAGTGAGTGAGTGAGTGAGTGAGTTTAATTTTATGCCACACTCAGCAATATTCCAGCTATATGGCTGGCAGTCTGTAAATAATCGAATCTGGACCAGACAATCCAGTGATTAACAGCATAAGCATTGATCTACGCAACTGGGATAAGATGACATGTGTCAACCAAGTCAGAATTGAAACCACAGACTGTACACACCTCAAAGAAAGCAGTCTGTAAATTATCAGCTTTGAACCAGACAACCCAGTGACTGTCTCAAGAGGGAGGGGCGTGGGTAGTCTAGTGGTTAAAGCGCTGGCTATTCGCCACAATCCGGCGACCCGGTTGAATTCCCAATATGGGTACAACGCGGAAGCCCAGTGTGATGTTGCTGGAATATTGCTAAAAGCGGGCAAAACCACCTGATCAAGTCAGTCAGTCTACAGGGTCATTCCATGCAAATGAGACAACATGCAATCAGTCAGGTCACCAAGCCAAAACCACCTGATAAATTTACAGTTTGTTTGTTGTCAAGCTACATAACGGTGGTATGTAAATAATCGATTCAGGACCACACAATCCAGTGATCACAGCCATGAGCATTGATCTATCAATTGGAATACAATGACGTGTTAACCAACTCAGTGAGCTTGACCAAAGGTGGCACCTGATCCTGTTGGTCGCTTCTAACATAAACATGGGTCACTGAAGACCTGGATGTCTAACCTGGATCTTCATGATCTTCATGGGTTGATCCATTTACAAGCACAGGTTGGTTTGGATACACAACACTGGTGACCTATATTCACTTCCCGAATCCCCATATTTGAAAAAAACAGTGGGTATAATTTGAATTTATAACACATTATAGTTGATCGATTTTGACAGCTTGAGAAAGAGTTTCTGCACCTGCAGCAATCTGAGTCTGTCTTTGTCTCTTAACAGTTTCCAAACGCAAATCAGTAAATATTATTTTTCCAAATTACATATCATTCACAAAATACTTATTTACCAGATGGTAAATGATTCATTGACTCTTGCTTTCTTGTCAAAAAGTAAACTATGTTTATAACAAAAACGCTTATAATGAAGTGACAGATATAACAAATTGCTTTTTGGGCCTGACCACTTGTAAAATTGTGCATTATGAACAGTCATAACAAACTATAATTAGTGGTCACTTTGAATTTGTTAAAACCAAAGTATGTATGGAAATTTCAGTTATATGGCAAATTTTTTTAAATCAAACCAATAAAACAGTCAAATTCAACAAATTAAGAAGAGTATTTTGGCACCCATGGTTGTTATTTATCATGCAACTTTCTGGAATTACTGATAACTCAGAAATGAATCAGAGAATCATGATCCGGTCCACAACTCTAGTTGTCCCTGCTCATGAACTGAAATTGTCAAACGCAGGTGGCCATTAAGGGCATCATCTGTCAAATCCATGTCTTACCTGTAATCAGGGTCCTGATATGCCTGGAGGTCTTGTATGCTGACCAGGTGTCCGTGGGAGTATCTGGAGGAGGACACACCAGCATCAATAACAAAATGAAACACACAAATACTGTTTGTTGGTTTGTTTGGAATTGGGTTTGTTTCTTGTTCAGTTAGAAATATCGGAGTTGATTAGAATTCACAACATTCTGACAGCAGCATAAATAACCGAATCTGGAGCCAATGATTGATATTAAGACCATATGAACCTTTAAGCATCTCTTACTACCAGATGGTGGCCAACCTAATGTCAAGACTGAAACTCACTTGCTAAATGAACAGAGACACACTAGGGTCATCGATGGTTGGAATGGGCAGTATCAACAAACATGTCAAAAGTATGATGATATACTAATAATTAACAATTAGTTACTCTGTATTTGCACAGATTAAAACATCCTATCTGGATATGTAATTCATGAACTCATCACTAAATATGAACAAGGCTTAAACATCAAATGTTCATAATTCAAATTTGCCACTTAATGATCAACTTGAACCATGAGAATCCTTAGAAATTTTCATTTAGCATAAATAGTTATTTTATCAAACATACATTTGTATCAATACTGTATCAAGATTAATAATATAAGTTTATTGATACATCAATATCGAAATATACAGAGACATTTACACGTGTAGTGAATATTCTTCCTAGCCCTATCATGTCATATGTTGAATAAAAGACATCTCAATTTAAAAATTGCTCTACTGCTATCACAACACAACAAATAAGTCCTTAAGAATACTGACTAGCCTTTTTTGAATTTGGCAATATATTTTAAGTTCTTATAACATGCCAAAGATAAATAATGATAAACTTTACAAATTACATTTTATGTCTGCTTTGGATATGCATAAATGTATGAAACAGAATATAAAACAAAACAAACAAACCCAACAACACATTACAATTAGGAGATAAACATCATGTGTTGGCCAATTTCCGGGTGTTATTGAGTATTTGAAGCATGGGAATTCATTTGGAACCGATGGCGTCAGCCGGAGGTTTCAAATGGAATATTCTCGTGCTTCAAATACTCAATAACACCCGGAAATTGGCCAACACATGATGTTTATTGACATTGTAAACATAAAAGTAAACCAAAAGGTCCACACACGTTTTTGTATCTGCACTCATTGACATGGAGTACGGGTACAGCAGTGAAATATCATCAGCCGGACGTTTCGGCTGTCTCCCATGGTAGCATCTGGAACTGCTCATTTGTGACGTCATTCAGACTTTACGTCACAATATGATTTGAATGACGTCATCTCAGCTGATGACGTAACAATACAATGGTGTGAGCGATGTTTGTATGTATTAATACGCAGCGAATTTCCGGGAATCGAATACCATTTGATCACGTTTTTCAACCAATCAGATTAAAGAACACAGTCACTTTTGGTTTACAATTAATTGTAATATATGAATAATGAATTTAAATGTACAAATATACACTCGTGTGCCATATTAAAGTTCACAAAATGGCCGCTATAAAATTTTCGCTAACTGTGATGAGATGTACTTACTTGCACTTTTCCTCTGAGAAGCGACATCTACCATCCAGGAAGAATCTGCAGGGCACCATAGACACATGGGTTGGGTTACAGAACATCACACTCACCTGTCATAACAACAAACAGAACCTATCACGTTACCATGGAAACACAGAACATCACACTCACCTGTCATAACAACAAACAGAACCTATACGTTACCATGGAAACACAGAACATCACACTCACCTGTCATAACAACAAACAGAACCTATACGTTACCATGGAAACACAGAACATCACACTCACCTGTCATAACAACAAACAGAACCTATACGTTACAATGTAAACATAGAACATCACACATACATATCGTACGTACCTACCTACCTACGTACCTACACACACACACACACACACACACACACACACACACACACACACTGCTCAAAGGCGCTTTGTTTTCCCTCGATCATTGGATATCCATCACAACAGCGCATCATATTTTTCAATCTCAACTCCCTGGGGATCATGCAACTCTTGCTGCCTACTAGGCCAACCGCGTTAATGTGACTTTTCCATCCTTACGAGGTACCCATTCACAGCTGGGTGGACTGGGACACATAGTCACAGTACTTTGTCAAAGTTTACTGCACATTGCTGTACCCGCAACTAGGTGTTTGCAGTCGTATTCATGTGGCCACCATCTGGTCATCTACCAACGGATTCGTGGGTTCTTTTAAGTTCACAGGGTTGTGTACTGTACACTAGGGGTTGTGACAATACTGAAAGAGTCTGCACACAAAGTTGACTCCAAGGTTTTTAACACCTGGTCACAGGTGGGCTCGATCCCGGCACCTCCAAGCTAGCTGGATTACTAGCCTGGCGCCTTACACAGCTCGCCCACCGCGCCCCCAACAAACACACTCACCTATCATAACAACAAACACAGAACCTATAGGATACCATGGAAACACAGAACATCACATTCACTTGTTACAACAACAAACACAGGACCTATAGGTTACCATGGAAACACAGAACATAACACTCACCTGTCACAACAAACATGTAATTTTCTGATTAAAATTGATATTTTATACTTATCCTGACTCATGCTTAATTGCTTGTCTTCTTCTTCTTGCGAACTATAGTGGAACACTTGAATCCCCTTTTGAAGCTCCCTTCAAAAAAGTGGACGTAAAATCACTCATCCCACGAGTAGCCTCCCTTTGATATTTGGTGCCAAAACCGTCACATGATCAGACATGCTCTTCACTCTCTCCGCATATGAGCCCGACAACCGGATCTACAGGGAAATCCAGAGTGCCATGAGGGGAGGTTGGGAGGGCTGACCTCATGAGTCAGGATAAGTATAAAATATCAATTTTAATCAGAAAATTACATATTTTTCCTTATCCTGGCTCATGCTTAATTGCTTGTAGAATGCGACGGAACCGGTGGTGGGTCAAGCCACTCTGGATTCTCTGCTGATTTACGTCCTGCATACCCCCCCCTAGGGAACTTCTAATGGCACCGTGTCCTTTCTTCCAGCTTCATCTGATGAGTCTGGGGGGACCACAACTTGTCAGATTTCTCTGGAATCGTCTTCTCCTGACATTATGTATGGATTTATGCAACTCCATATCTTGATGCTCGCATCAAGTGGAGAAGCGACCCTTCTTCATGTACAAGTAAGTCCTTACAAGTACAGGGTCTGTCACTCATGCTAGCCTGTCCTAGACGTGCGCATGGACTCTAAAGCTCTAACTCTTCCGAGTGATGGCTTTTTACAAGTCACGTGATAAATAGGGTGAGATTCATCTCAGCGTCTTTGAGGAACTGTCAATTGTTGTGCTACAACAAGAGGCCCAAACTGGTGAATGCCGGAGAGGTCCTCGGTAGCCATGTCTCTGAGGTAGTGGTTGGCAAACACCGTCTCCGACTTCCAAAAGCAGCCCTCCATTATTGTGGAGATGGAGCAGTTCCCATGCAGAGCGATTGTCGACGCCAGTGCTCGGACTTCATGAGGATTGGAGGCTCGTGGAGGCTCAAGTACTGCTGCTTTGTAGGCTCTCAATATGACGGCTCTCATCCATAATGATATTGTTGTATGAGACCTCTGTAGGCGTCTCCGTAGATAGAGGGATGAAAAGGCACTTGAATTTTCGTCTCCTCGTTTTCGACCTTTGTAGGTAGATTTTCAGTGCTCTGACTGGGCATAGGGATAAAACTTGAGTATCCTGTGGCCCAAGGATTGACGAGAGTGCTGGGATATGGAACTGTCTGTCTGGTTGACCGGGCAATTGGTTCTTTGCTATGAAGTCCCATCTCAATCCCAAATGTACAGTGTCACGATGTGCGTCAAATCGTGTTCGTTCAAAGTCCAGAGCATGTATTTCCTGACATCCGTGCTGCTGTTGCCAAGGCGATCAGGAACAGAGTTTTATGAGTTAACCTCTCATAGGATGTCCTTTCTAGTGGTTCGTAAGCTTCACCCGTGAGATGCTGCAAGACCACGTTGAGATCCCAAGCAGGCGCCTTAAACTTCTTTTGTTGGTCTTCCAACATAAAGGAGCGTAGTAATGCCAGTATCTCTGGTACTTTGGTCAGCTTCACACCCGTCTTCAAGCAGGCTGCCATCTTCACTCGGATGTGATCTGCAGGCTGCTTGTCCTTCGTGCAGGTTCGTCGTAGATGGTGTCTTCACCGCAGCCTTCTCCTGCGCGAACCTCCGTTCCATCAGGTCCATCATCTGCTGAGTAAACTGCTGCATGAAGATACCCGGGTTGAAGGTCTGCGCTGACAACTGCTGCTGCTGTAAAGATGACGACGCATCTGAGAGTTGAGGCTCCTTCCAAGGACTGCCTGTCATCTCTGGTCTCTGAAGTCTGCGTTGATAAGACGTCTGACTGCGTTGATATATAGATATGGCTGCTGACGTCACTGTAGAAGAAGACCTCATCTTCTTCCTAACTGTTACTTCAGGAATCAGGATGGGTGGTTCATTGTATATGTCTGCTTCGTCCGGTGGGGTGATATCTGCGGCGAAGGACCTCGTCTTCTTTGCTGCCCCAAGGGACGACTTCGATGAAGTCTTATCTGTAGACGATTTCTTCTTCAGAGCAGACGATGTCCTGGTCTTCTTAGACTGCGACGAGGGTAGTTGAGACGATGACAATCTCTTCATGGACCCGGAGCTGCCATCTGCCACAGTCAACAGCTCCGTAGTAGCCACCGGCAAATCACTGGAATGGTGAATCTCAGCAGACAATAAGACACGGTTATCAACGCATTCACTCTGTTTAGACATGACTTGTAAAAGTCGTCTCGACCTGTCCTTGGCACGTCTAAGAATGGAATATAAATAATTAGTAAATTCAATTTCAGATAAATGCTGACAAAGTTTACAGCGGAGGCTGGAAGAACATGTAGAAGTGCAGTTAGGACATAATGAATGCGGATCAGCAGCCGACAAACGAAACCTGCAACAAATGCAAGTTTTCATCATATGTAAACAAGATGAAACATCATGTCAACAACGTGAATAAACGGAAAATTTGGTACAAATTTCAAACCATATTGCTAAAGACCGTATACAGCTAATTTACAGTCAAAGCTTAAAATAAAAGGATATAATGCCGTATAGGGGACCCAGGCGCTCTCACAACCGTCCTCTAGGGCGAATAAGCAGAGAGTGAAGAGCATGTCTGATCATGTGATGGTTTTGGCACCAAATATCAAAGGGAGGCTACTCGTGGGGTGATTTTTCGTCCGCTTTTTTGAAGGGAGCTTCAAAAGGGGATTCAAGTGTTCCACTATAGTTCGCAAAAGGAAGGAGACAAGCAATTAAGCATGAGTCAGGATAAGGAAGAATAAAGAACCTATACTATAGGTTACCATGGAAACACAGAACATCACACTCACCTGTCATAACAACAAAGACAAAACCTACAGGTTACCATGGAAACACAGAACATCACACTCACCTGTCATAACAACAAAGACAAAACCTACAGGTTACCATGGAAACACAGAACATCACACTCACCTGTCATAACAACAAAGACAAAACCTACAGGTTACCATGGAAACACAGAACATCACACTCACCTGTCATAACAACAAACACAAAACCTATAGGTTACCATGGAAACACAGAACACCACACATGCATCTCATGATGACAAACAATGAAATTATGCTGACTTTAGATTGTCATGGATATATGAATTTCAAAATACACTAGTTCACCCATGTCATGCCATAACACTTAGTCTGAAGTGGGAATCCAAACAGTGCTGGGGGAGTTGGGGTATCCCAGTGGTTAAAGTGTCTGCTAATCAAGCAGAAGATTTGGGTTTGAATCCCCACATGGGTACAAAGTGTGAAACCCATTTCTGGTGTACCCGTCACTGTGATATTACTAGAATTTGCTAAAAACAGCGTAAAAACATACTGACTCACTGACTCACCGAACAGTGCTAAGATTGTTTAGTGAAAGGGCCACTTGTCATACCGAAGACGCAGGTTCGATTCCTCACATGGGTATGACGTGTGAAGCCCATATATGGTGTACCCTGCTGTGATTTTGTTGAAATTATGCTAAAAAAATGGCGTAAAACAATAGTCTTTCACTCAATTCAGTATATTTCCTGGCACCTATCCTGACCAATAGTTACACAGAGCTGGTAGTTCATGTACCAGAGGGAGGTAGCCCTACCTTGGGTATTTCGTCATCAGTGTTGCCGGGCTCCACTTGAAACACCAGTGCATTGTGGTAAGCAAGGCCACCCCAGTCATGTGAGAAAGGGGCTCGACATTTCATGCCAACAAGTTTTGAGAAAGACTCTGCAACTGAAGCATCTGCCTCTTCTTCATCATCTGATTGGTCGGATTCTTTTCCTTGTAGTTGGTTGCCTGTAGGTGGTGGTGATCCACTGGAAGTGCCAACTGGAGGAGCATCAAATACATCCCCTCCAAGTGCTGCCTGAGGATTCAAACAGAAATACCTATCAGAATTCAGTCAGGGGATTCAACCTGAAGACTGGTACTGTCAGAGTTTGAATAGGCGGTTGAAAGAGAAGACAAGCACCTGTCAGTGTTCAATTCAAGGGTTCAAAGAGAAGACAAGCACCTGTCAGTGTTCAATTCAAGGGTTCAAAGAGAAGACAAGCACCTGTCAGACTTTGATTAGGGGGTTCAAACAGAAGACAAGCACCTGTGTGTGTTCAAGTAGGGGGTTCAAACATTAGAGTTCAGTCATGGGTTCAAATATTCAAAAAGCACCTGTCAGACTTTGATTAGGGGGTTCAAACAGAAGACAAGCACCTGTGAGTGTTCAAGTAGGGGGTTCAAACATTAGAGTTCAGTCATGGGTTCAAATATTCAACAAGCACCTCTCAGACTTTGATTAGGGGGTTCAAACAGAAGACAAGCACCTGTGAGTGTTCAAGTAGGGGGTTCAAACATTAGAGTTTAATCATGGGTTCAAATATTCAACAAGCACCTGTCAGGCTTTGATTAGGGGGTTCAAACAGAAGACAAACAGCTGTGAGTGTTCAAGTAGGGGGTTCAAACATTAGAGTTTAATCATGGGTTCAAATATTCAACAAGCACCTGTCAGGCTTTGATTAGGGGGTTCAAACAGAAGACAAACAGCTGTGAGTGTTCAAGTAGGGGGTTCAAACATTAGAGTTCAGTCATAGGTTCAAATATTCAACAAGCACCTGTCAGAGTTCAATCAGGTTCAACTATTAAACAAGCACTTGACAGACTTTAGCCAGGGGGTTCAAATAGCATCTGAATCACATTATACAGAACATCACATTTCTAATTCTAAAAACCTCAGAATTATCCACATATATTATATACAACATTTGATACAATGCGAACACACCTCAAGACCTTGTTTAAGTCCTGATAAGAAATTCTTATCCCTGTAAATATTTGTCTCCTTCCTTCAGAAGTAAGAGAGCAAGTTTAAAAGAGTTTAAAATCTGATCATTGAAGATAAGCTGTGGCCAGCTTGGTTTATCAGTCAGAATAGAACTGACCGGGGGCACTGGATTAAAGAGTGTTGTAAGCATGCAGTGGAGGTTGAACTGAGAGTAAAGCTTACTGCGCAGAACTATGGAATAAATGTTTTAAAGGCACAAAATGTTAAGACATAAAACATAACTAATATTCTACCAAAACAATAAGTAATATTCTAACTAGTGTTCTACTCCTACTGACAAATTCAGGTGTACAAGTGATTAAATGGCAACAAGGGCATACACCTTACTACTAAATATTATCTCATTTTAATCTACATAATCTTAATCAAAAAAATAAGTACATATACTGAGGGAAACAAATAAGGGAAAATCACTTCATCGCAGTGTTCCTTTAGTTATTCTCAGATTTTCACCCGCAGTGCAATACAAAGCTTGTGAAGAAATCTTAAAAGAATAAAGGAACATTTGTACTTTCTTGTGTTCCCTTATTTGTTTCCCTCTGTATATATACACATATTTGACTCTGCCACAGTGGCTCCAGGGAGATGGGAGAAACAACAAGTGTAACCCTTGTGTCCAATCACTTAGACATTTTTGAGAACATTATAGGTTTATACTGAGACAAGGACATGTCAACGTTCAATCAGTTTAATTCAGACCCATGGGGATCAAACAACCAGATTTCACCTTTAACATATGTAATTTATAATCCATGTAAAAAAGATGAAAATTTCCCTGACCTGAAACGCAGAATATTCATCATCGATTGTGTTCGCTGCGGATGTTCCTGATGATGCTGGTGGTGTAGCTGCAGATGCTTCCAGAGATGCAAGCAACTTACTTTTCTTCAAAGATAGTAAACTCTCTGCAGGAAAAAGTCAACAGTAACCATTGTAAGTAATTTGAAATTTTTGTCCTAAAGCGATTCTCATTTATCAAACTATATCTTCTATCACACATAAATTAAAAGCCTGTCAAAACATACAATAAGCAGGGTACAAGTGACCACATCTCTTGTGGACCTTGCTGCTTTGCTACAGATGCTGAACTATGTAATATCGTTGGATAAGTAAAACAAATATTATTAATTTGATGTGTCCTTTTCCTGTTAGTTTGTTCTCTAAATCCACACTGAGCAATATTCCAGCTAGTCGGTGGTCTGTAAAAATCGAGTCTGTACCAGACAATCTGGTTATCAACAGCATGAGTATCTCTATCATTCTATGCAGTTGGGATACAATGGTGTGTGTCAACAAAGTCAGCGATCACCCAATCCCGTTTTCGCATTTATTGACAAGCATGGGTTGCTGAAGACCAATTCTAACCAGGTTCTTCACTTGTAACAAGTGATCTGTATGGCCGCATCTCATATCGACTGGCCACACCATGACATGGAGGCCTTGGAGAACCAGCTCCTTTGATATAGATGCAGAACATTGTAAACCAAAAGTCACCATATTCTTTAATCTGATTGGTTGAAAAACATGATCGAATGGTATTCGATTCCCGGAAATTTGCTGCATACTGATACGTACAAACATCGCTCACACCATTGTATTGTTACGTCGTCAGCAGTGATGTCATTCAAATCATATGATGACCTAAAGTCGGAATGACATCACAAATGAGCAGTTCCAGATGATACCATGGGAGACAGCTGAAACGGCTGGCTGATGACATTTCACTGCTGTACCCGTACTCGATGTCAATGAGTGCAGACACAAAAATGTGTGTGGACCTTTTGGTTTACTTTTGTGTTTACAATGTCAATAAACATCATGTGTAGGCCAATTTCCGGGTGTTATTGAATATTTGAAGCATGGGAATATGTCGGTTCCAAATGAAATCCTGTGCTTCAAATACTCCATAACACCCGGAAATTGGCCAACACATGATGTTTATCTCCTAAATGTAACATCGTCAGATTAAACATTTTCGGACGGCAGTGTTTACTCTTGCTTCAATGAGGCGGCTTATGTCAGCCTGACATTGTATATACTTGGATAGTGGCTCATGCTTACGATAAAGTTCAAGAAAACAACAGATGTTCTAAGTGTCCCAAATCTTACAACACAAAGATACTAATACTACAAGAATTGATTCCATGAGGGCTAATGACGAAACTAGTATCTCTTGTACTTTTAGATATCATTTCGACAGGGTGGTTGGGTAGCCTAGGGGTGAAAGCGTTGGCTCGTCACGCCGAAGATCCGGGTTTGATTCCCCACATGGGTACAATGTGTGAAGCCCATTTCTTGTGTCCCCTGCCGTGATATTGCTGGAATATTGCTAAAAGCTGTGTAAAACCATACTCACTCACTCAATCATTTCCACAAAAACAATAAACACAATAATATTATTTACAACCACGTTAATACCAAGGAGAGATAATTTGGGCTGCAACGTTTCACCCTGATTGGATTCAATTAGATTTTCGATATTGGACCCTCGATTTGTTCATTTTCGAACTTGGCGATGTCTACTTACGACAATGCTCATTGGATAATTAGCCCGAAGTCAACCAATATGGCGCTCGAAACTGCTCGAGTTGGATTAAAAATTACGTTTTCGCTGTGTGGAAACAATTGAAATTTATATTCAAATATCAAAACGAAATAGTGATAATGGTTATCGAAAAATTAAACTAAGATGTCAGATTTTATTTTCAATGAATCGAATCGAATCGTTGCAGCCCTAATGATAATATGACATGCAATACTGAAGGAAAGAGAGAGACACATAGGAAAATTCTCCTACTGGATAATAATCTTAACTTTTTTTCATAAATTTACATTTTAAATAGACATGATGATGATTGTGTGTCTTGGATTGTGGACATAAGCATGGTGTTTCACCTTGTGTCAGGTTGATAAGCTCTGTGAGATCCTCCTGCAGTTTGATCAAGTCATCTGTTGCACCAGCTGCTTGTACCGCCTGGCTGACCTGAGCAAGCTGTGGGTTAAAATAATAATTATCAAAATTGTGGGGATAATGGGTAAAAATATAGGTCCATAAACAACTTTTGAGGACACAAGAAGCAACTCAATTCATTGGGTGGTTAGGCTTTGTGGTTGATTGCATATCATGTGATCTCAAATCCCTGTATCATGCTGTATGCTCATTAAGTCAGTCACTTGATTGTCCTGTTATTTACAGGTCACTATGACATAGCTGAAATATACTGACAGCTGGAGTGCAGTTAAACTAAAACTAAATCAGTGTTATGATTTTGGACATTTCTTTCATGTTTTTGTATGGTAGTAACACTGATGATATCAAGTTTATTTGTTTGTTATGATTTAAGCACCACAGTTAACAACAGTCCAGCAACATCACAGCACTCTGTAGTTAAATCTTAACCACACAATCTGATGATTGCTATAATGTCTAATACTATATCCTAATTGAAGTCTGGGTACAATAAACTGAATCACAAATTCTGACAACCTGATCACACATGATTAAGCTGCCTCTATAGGTAAATCATCAGTTACTCAGGACCTTGCCTATCCTGGAACTAGGACTGGGCTACAAGTTGATGTACTTGATTTTTTTGTTTATTTATTTTACCGAATGTTACGGATTGGGATGAGTTATTTTTATTAGAAAAGGGTTCTAATTAACCCTTAGGATCGTAGACACTGGAATAACCTACCCCAATCCAACTTAACCCAACGATTAACTCAAGATCAGTGACGCCTATGCCAGAACTGTCAGCCTGTGCCAAATAACCAATACGGCAATAGCCATCTGTCAATCAGACAGCAGAGTAATAAACAGGAACATGGAATCTGCCTTAAAAGTCGTCACACCCGTGAATGACCCTGACTGGTGGGTGTGGTTATATTCACTTCGGTGACATGGTTATAAACGAAGAAAGCTGCAGCGTTGCTCTGACTTCTCACAAATATAAAATCCACCGGTAAACCACATTGCTAAGCGGAAAATGTCCACAGTTTTCGCGCAATGTGTAAGTCGAGCATATATAATCTACGGTTATCATATGTCAGAATTCAGGATCCAAGATATACCTGAGTTCGATACATTTCCAGCGACTGCTCAAGGCCTTCTTCGTCCATATTGCTGGTCGGTTAAACAAAATAATCGTTATTGTTTACTTTCTAGTTCACAAACCGGTACTGTTCATGGGCGCCGCCATATTGGTAAAGCTAAGCAAACTAGCTCTTTTCGTATAACTTTGAACTTACGTACAAAATACGTTCAAAATAGTTTCCTAAAGCTATTAATTATCAACTCCACGTTTCCCTACTTGAATAAACCATTCACTGGCTCGTGAGGGGACCATCGTATCACAATTGCGTACATCGATGATGTCAATCACTGGATTGTTTGGTCCAGACTCGATTGTTCTACAGATCGCCATTACACACCTGGGCTTAGATTTTCGAAGCTCTCTTAGCGATAAGATAGTCGTAAGCTAATGTTAATGTACGGCACTTACGACTAATTTAGCGCTTAGAGAGCTTCGAAAATCTAGGCCCTGGGATATTGCTGAGTGTGGCGTGAAACAATAAACAAACAAATATAGAGGGCAATTTAGGATTTAAACCCGAGCACCTGATATATATTCCAAAACAAATGCCAAAACAAATGCATAGTATAAAATTTATGAAAATAAACATGATTGAAAACGCAAGCATGACACGGTCGTTATTCTTTTAAAACTCATTAAAATGTACATGTATGTTTGAGTCGTTGTCCTACACTCTGAACAATATATGGAGATTATCTAATTAGCCTCGTTTATAAAATACAAATGTTGCACCGGAGCTATAAAAAATATAAGATTCCATATCTATCTGGCTTATCTTGAACCAAGACACATAATTTAACACGCGCATTGTCCAGTGTTCCAGATAATACACAAGGCGAGAAAACAGCCACACAACAGTTGCAATGTTCCTCGTCCTTCTCTGTCTCTCCATCAGCGTGACGCTCAGTAAGTTTATGTCCTACCTCGAGACTGTCTCAGTAAGTTCATGTCCTGCTTTGAGGAAGTCGTCTCTTATTGTGTTCATCTTCTTTTCACATTGTGTTCATCGTCTCTCTACATTGGGTTCATCTTATCGTCTAACTGTTGCCACGTCTTTAGCTTAGCCATAATATAAACACTAATTAAAGCGGCTCTGTCAGCGTTGTTTCGTGTGTTCATTCAAAACCGATTTGACTCCAGCTATTCAGTTATGGCAACCTATATTCCAACTATGAGACGACGGTTTCTAAAACTTCGGTTCTGGGCCAGATAAGCTTTTCAACTTGTGTAATCTTCCCTTTGCTTTGTATTTACCTAATATTTGACTTATTAACTTGAATTAAGCTCTTACATTTAATTTATTATTAGTATTCAATTTGTCTTGGCGCTCTCGTCCGATACCGGCCACAGGTGGCCCAGTCGTTTCAGGCGCCGGAATTGGCCGATGAGAGTTGCGTCCCTTGGGCAAGCCAGGGACCTATGATCTTGGTTTGCCCCAGTATGTTTCTATGTTTGTCGACAAGATAACCGTGCTCGCTGGTTCAACTAAAATGGGAAACATCTGAGAAATGTACCCTTGGGGCCTTGCGCCAACACTGACCCGACGCGCAGTGATATAACTTGAATACTGTTCAAAGCAAAACCCATCCACTCACTCACTTACTCCTATTCCACAGGCGCGTCCTGTGACAAGGGCTTTGTTCAGTATGGTAGTTCCTGCTACATCGTCCTCCCTGAGACCGGCACCTGGCTCACTGCAATGGTAAACCGGGGTATACAAACATATAGATTTTATTCCACATGGGTATACAACGTACACAGGTCATAAACTATATACTGCCCAAAGGAAGTTAAGGACCATTGGAATCTTTCATATTAATAACATTGTTAATTTATCTCTAATGCCACCAGAGATGATCATAGTACTATGAAAGAATCGTGTTTTTCTAAACTTTTGCAGTGGCATATTATTGCCAGATACATACCAGATGGATACATCCAGGGGGTGGGGGTGCCCCCGTCACCCCCGAAACAAAATCCCTGAGGAGCACTTCCTCCTAATCTTTGGACTTTATGATTTTCACTATAACACAGGAGTACTGCAAGGCGTTCGGTATGAGCTTGACCATTGTTCAGAGTGCTGACGAGAACAAGTTCCTCCAAGACTACCTCTACACACACAGAGGTGAGTCTAGTTCCGACGTCATCATAACATATATGGTAGCTGATGCTATACTCCAGTCCTCCATCATGCTTATGCATCAGATCATTGTATCGCTTGTATTATTTTTGTATTAAAATTCATTCAGTTTCCAGATTTTTCAAGAGGATGTTCCAGTCTATTCATAGGATAGAAATAGAGGAGTGAGTGAATATGGTTTTACGCCGCTTTTAGCAATATTGTAGCAATATAATGGCGGGAAACATCAGACAGGGGTTTCACACATTGTACCCACGAGGGGAATCGAACCCGGGTCTTCAGCGTGACGAACGGAAGCTTTGACCATTCCGATATTTTTGACAATCCATACATTTCATCACTGATATTATTAAAATTAAGCACAGATAACATTTATATTTGATTTGAATTCCTTTACTTTTTATCATCATCATAATCATCATCGTTATTATTATTATAGGTACTTATAATAAAGCTCAGGACTTTTGGACAGCGGGGACCAACATGATGTCGACCGAGTGGGCGTGGGCAGGGACGGATGAGGAGATTGAGACGTTCTTCTGGGGCCCAGGGGAACCGAACAACTTGGGCAGCGGCGAACGATGTCTGTCATTCTATGCAAGGGCCAATTTCACGTGGGACGACGAGCACTGCACGTACAGCGGTTACCCGTTGTGTGAGAAACAGTGAGTGTAGCGCGTCCTATGCCGTTCAATTCAAACCCATGAAGATCCGGGTTAGATTTGGTCTTCAGCAACCCATGCTTGGCGACTAGCAGGATCGGGGCGTCCGGTTCGCTGACTTGGTTGACGTATGTCATCCTAACCCAATTGCGTAGATCGATGTTCATGATGTTGGTCACTGGATTGTCTGGTCCAGACTCGATTATTTATAGATCGCTGCCATATACCTGAAATATTGCTGAGTGCGGCGTTAAACAACAAACAAACGTTCAATTCAAGTAATGTTCAACATACCGCATGTTTCCATGTGTTCATAACTGCTGGAGCCACTATCCATGCTATATAATACTAATTTCGATATAATTTGACAGCAATCGTCATCAAGACAATTCCTATTTTGGAATCCCATTTATCATGTCGTGGTTGTCGTGTATTGCGCTCAAACGCATCACAATGTGTTTGTAAACGTTTGTCATTAAAAAAAGGAAACGATACATGAAAAGTGCATGCAGAAAACGTTTTCCACATAATGCACGTGTGTCGGAAAGACGAGTAGAGACATCGATTATGAAAGGCCACACCAAATTCATCATTTCATGACGAAATTTACGACGTAAACGAAGATAGAAAAATGCCAAGATTGAATGTTCTACTGACCGAAATATCGCCATAGAGAATACCAAGAGTCACCACTCCTGCTCCGGAATGATTAATCCGGGTGTATCACCTACGTGACCGATTTGCTACAGCAACGGACATTACAGGCTAGGTGCCTGGTCTTCGAAGAATTTCCGCCCAAACCATCAGAAATCGTCTGAGAGAAGTGGGAATGGGAGCATATCGACCAAAAGTTGGACCTGTAATGACACGCCTACACCGACAACGACGTGTCCAATGTTGCAACAGGGTACAGGCAGGGAACCTGGGGAACGCATGGATCGTGTTTAGTTCAGCGATGAATCGCGTTTTCTCCTTCAACGACGGGATGGGAGACAACGTGTCTATCGACGTCAACACGAACGTTTTGCGCCGAACTGCGTTCGACAGGTCTACAGATGTGGTGGAGTGAGCGTCATGGTGTGGGGAGCCATGTCCTACACGGGTAGATCAGAGCTAGTGGTGGTTCAAGGCAATCTTACAGCAAATCGCTACATCGACCAAATCCTGCGACCGCACCTCCTCCCACTTTCTAACCACCAGAGAGAGCTGTTTCGACCCGACCCCACGCAGCTCGAGTGATCTCGCCAATGCAAACGTCAGTGTGCTTCCTTGGCCTTCCAAATCGCCTGATCTGAACCCGATCGAGCATCTATGGGACGAACTTGATCGACGCCTCCGTAAAAGTCACCATCGTCCTTGGACACTTGCAGAACTTGCCAACGCCTTGCAGGAGGAATGGCGAAGAATTCCCCAAGCAAAAGTCCCACGAATTCTGCAATCCATTCCAAGGTGGTGTCGAGCAGTGACAGCTACAAGGGGTGGTGTCACCAAGTACTGACCTGAACGCCCCTTGTGTCCACATATGTACAGTGAACTGAATTAATACTGACAATTGCAACAATACATATCTTCATCCGTGTGTCGAATTCCCTTCATCTATGTTCAAGCTTCATCGACTTATGTACACTTAAATACGTTTAATACATTTCCTTATTTTTGACCTATGCGTTTCTTTTTGAAGAAGGCATGCAAACAGGGTGCACGTGACCAACGCAGTAGCCCCTTACACGTACATGGGTGTCATTCTTGATTTTGATAATTTTCAAGAAGGTCAATAAATCACTGTAGTGAGTGAGTATAGTTTTACGCCGCTTTTAGCAATATTCCAGCAACATCACGGCGGGGGCTTCACACATTGTACCCATGTTGGGGAATCTGTCTTCGAATTCGGCGTGACGAGCGAACGCTTTAACCATTAGGGTACCCCACCGCCCCGATAAATCACTGTAGACCATTAATTTTGACAATCATCTTGCATCACACAGTTGTTGGTGTTTGTTTCTAGTCGGGTTGTTTTTGTTTGAAAATGACAATCGTACACATGCAAATTTCCCGTCATACACCAATCATCTTTCAAGAGCGGTGAGGTGAGGTGAGGTGAAATTGGGTTTTACGTCGTGCTTGAGAATATTTCGCTCATATGACGACGTGCATGCGTGTGTATGTGTATGTGCGGCTGCTTGTACTAGCCCAGACTTAAGTTGGTTTTCTAGTGCTAGCCCACTGAGATACCATGCCGCAGTGAAGCATGAATACTCTACTCAGACACATTATACTGACTCCGAGCCGACCAGTCCTTGTTGTACCCATTAGTTCCGAGCGCCAGGCAGGGACCGACAAGTGCCATATTTTAACGTCTTTTGGTACAGTACAACCAGAAATTATTGAGAATTTAAGGATTGTAATTTTTTTCACTCATTACTCACGTATTAAATGTGAATATTAGCGGAACTTAACTCCAGATTCAAAGACAGGTGAACAGTTAGTATTTTGTCAAGTCACCATGGGCAGCAATGCAGGCTTCAATGCGACAGGGCATACTACTGATCAAAGAAGTTAGAAAGTCGTGGTCCATGCTGTCCCAATATCGGACCACCTCTTCTTTCATTTCAGCAATATTTGTCAGATTTTTCTTACTGACACTTTCCTTCATAAGTCCCAAAACATTTTCTATTAGATTTAGGTCAGGGCTATAGCTTTGCCAATCTAATAATGTCATATTTTGGGTCTAAAACCAGGCCTGTGAATGCTTTGAACGATGTTTTGGGTCGTTGTCCTGCTGGAAAATCCAAACATTTCCATAGAACACGTGAGCAGATGGAAGTAAATGTCCCTCGAGAATATCTGTGTACCGCTCACTGTTCATATTCCCTTCAAATACACAGAGGGGCGTTGCCCCTAACACAGACATGCCACGCCACACGTTAAATTTCGGACTGTACTTTGGGCGCTGATACAAACGTTTTTCAGTTTGTTTGGATCAGAATTTCAGTGTATTAGGAAACAGCCACACAGAACTTTCATCTGAGAAAATCACATTGTCCCAGTTAAAATTTCTATGCTGTAAGCACCAGTTCAACCTTCGCTCCTTTTGTTCAGGTTTCATGATCGGTGATGGAATTCCTCGACTTTTCTGCCAACCCATTGCATGCAGCTCAGATCTAATTGTCTCCTTACAGACAGCCACAGTTCCTCTATCAATCATATCCAGCCTTAAGTTTTCTAAACTTCTTCGTTTGTTTTTAGAACCAAGAATACCAAGCCGCCTCCTGTCACCGACAGTCAATTTTCTGGGCCTACCTGCGCCTCCCTGGTGCTCAATGCCATATCCATTTGCAATATTTTTCAAAACACGATAAACAGTGGACAAAGGGATGCCTGTCCTACTTGAAATAACTTTAGCTGATCTGATGTCCTTGTTATAATACTCTAAAATCAACTTCCTCTTCTCTAAATCATCCATACTGAGGATCACTGAAAATGTCGTCTGCTAGCAAGTAAACAAAGGGGGATAAATCTTCACAAACTAATGAAAAAGGATTAACGGAGTTGTCTCTGTTGAATGAAACCAAGCACTTGATAGCTGGTCAAGGTTGTTTATACTAGAAATCCAATTAAACATATTCCTAAAATTCTCAATAATTTCTGGTCATACTATATGACACGATTGGGGATCGAACCCGCGACCTTCCGCTCTCTGGGCGGACGCTCTAACCACTACACCACGGAGGCGGTCTGTTTCAAGAGCGATTACTGTACCAACAACTATGGTCATTGATTGATTCCGATGATATATCTCCCAGTTTTTTCAATTGTAAATTAAAAATGAAGTTCTTCTACTTCTTTTGAAGCGTATATATACTATTCAGAAAAAGAAACGCATAACCCAGAGATCTGTTGCGAAAATGTTGTATTTTCAAACATGTATAACTCGTCCACGACTTTAAGAAATGAATTTTGGCATCAGTTTAGATGTAGGAAATGTCTATACAACCCAGTGGATAATTTTAGATAACGGAGACGGTGAGCGCCATGGTGACGACGTAGCACGGGCCCGACGTCGGATCTCCTGGCTCTCAGTCCAATCTCTCTCAACCTGTTCCGTACAATTTGACCGGATATCCTCCGAAGTCCAGGCACCCTGGCTGCTGTGCTCTCACCCGTGGCAGTACGATCACGTAAATGTAGTACCCGGATGTACTCATCTTGGGCTGCAGTAGTGACTCGAGGTCTGCCTGTACGGGGACGGTCATTTGTTATACCTGTTTGGTTGTAACGAGCTGCAAGCCGTGATATCTTGGTCAGACTAACATTCAGACGCCTGACAACAGAAGATTGGTAATCCCCACTGTGCATTCTTTCAATGGCGATGTTCCGTGTCGCAGCGTCAAGATGTGGCGTAGTGATTTGACCTTGAAACTCCCTCAAAACGAATGCCGATTTCCGAAAGTAATCTGGATTTTTATAGCCAGACATGTGCAGTGCATGCTCTTTGCTGCACAGTTTCAACTGGAAGGTGATGCCTTTTTAATCCTTGTAAGAAATCTCATCAAAATCAACATTTTCAGGTAACGTCGATTTTTTACTTGTGCAATTGTGTAAAATCATATTATCAACCCTTTTGTTACATATTTTGACGATTGTTTGAACACAATAGGTAATTAATAGATTTTAAGAAATACATAACGCCTATGCGTTTCTTTTTTGGGATAGTATATAATCTACCATTTAATACGTAGGCCACACCTCACCTCATCCGTGAAGCATCCTAACGCCATCCCCCTCCTCCCTCCGCCATACCTCTATGCTTACGATTTTTCACCGTTTTTGAAATTCCAGACTTCAAACCCGAGCACCAAGCAAAGTCCAAACATATTATCTTATCTCATGGAATTTTCATAATAGTCCAGTCAAACGCAACCCACCTTCCGTTTTACGTAACATAAGGAATTGGGCCGCTGGCCTATATTCTGAAAAACATATACACAACTTAGCTACTCGCTTATCTTGAAGACTTACCCCAGAGATTTAGGTTAACACGCTGCGTTCAGTGTTCCTGAGCTGGACAATACACAAGGCTAGAAATCAACAACAGTTGCAATGTTCCTCATTCTTCTCTGTCTCTCCATCAGCGTGACGCTTAGTAAGTTCATGTCCTACCTTGAGACTGTCTCTCTATCTCTATTGTATTTGGCTTGTATACGCTTGTCTTCATCTTGTATTTAGCTCTCCTTACCGATATATTCAGTTTGTCTTCGTCTTGTATTTGGTTTGTCTTAGTCGTGTAATCCGCTTGTCCTTATCGTCTATTGATCATCAGTTGCCTATATTTTCCTGTTCTCGCCTCCTACTCTTCATGGCAGGTGCGTCGTGTGACAAGGGATTTGTTTCGTACGGCGATTCCTGTTACATCGTCCTCCCGGAAACCGGCACCTGGCTCACTGCAATGGTAAACCGGGATAAAAAAAATATTCCAGAATATCGCCATTTCTAGCTTAACCATATTACAATTTTCCACCAAGCCATACTACACTATAGTACCATTGATATACTGCTTAGCGAGTTGCCGTCTTGTGATGAGTGGGTTTGATAAAATACTTATTGACAGAACGAAATAACTGCGCATCAAGATACCAAGACTAGTTTTGCAAACGAAGACCACTTGGAACTTTGGTGACACAAGTTTTGCTTTCTGATACAGGAGTACTGCAAGGCGTTCGGCATGAGCCTGGCCATTGTCCAGAGTCCTGGCGAGTACAACTTCCTCAAGGACTACCTCTACACACACAGGGGTAAGTCCAGTTGTGACGTCATCAAGGGGGTGAAGCGGTTCATTCTATGTTTTATCGATTTATTGTATCAATGCATTTTGATTTTTTAAACTTAATTTTGTTTGTTCCCTTCCTTAGAAACAGATGTTGTAAGTACATGTATCTGCAATTATTACATGAAAGGTGATACAAATGATTCTGTTGCCAGGAGAAAGTCCATCCAATGTCAAAATGAATATTAGGAGCACTGGAAAACATTTGTTAGTAAAAGTATCAATATCATTAATTCTCTTTGAGATGAATCTTATAAAATTTTCTAAAAAACCCCAACTAAAACTACATAAATAGATATGTATTTTTGGAGAGTATATCAAGTCAAAACATTTATTACACAACAGTCTCGTTTCCTGATGACTGAGTTCCGTTCTATTGCGCAACTTAGTACAATAACCAGTCCAGAATTTTGAGGCCAATTCATTTAACTGGATACATAAATATTAACCAGTATTATTTGATACATCCAAGCACTTGCATAATTGTATATATATTGCAACACTACGCTCCTTATAATCCCTGCAAACGTGTCGTGCAGCGTGCTCTGTCGTACAGCGAGCACTGACAAACAGAAACCTGGAAATCGCGGAAATCTCAAAACGAGGCTCTGCCGCTAGAAAAGTTTGGTGATCTGGTACGAACTTGCTATTATCTCAATCACATTGTGCTTTAGAGAACTACACTAAATAAGCGCAAAGAACGCATAACAGGTGTAACCAGTGAGTCAGATGCATTGTGAATCATTTTACGACCTCATCAAACGCGGGCTGTCTGTGACGTCTTAGTTAAGGTCATGCTGCCTACACCTCGCCATAAAATATAGCAATACGATGTTATTAAAGTTTAAAATTAAAATTCCTTTGTAAAGACCATTTTCTTATGAAACAAGGAATTGGAATTCAGTGCAACCATAGTTGTTCGTGATGTCTATTTTCACTTTCTCACGAGAAAATTCGGATCGGCTGAAAAGTAGGTCATTGTCTAAATAGGTTAATGAGACTTATGTTTGGTTTGTGGTTCAGTAATATATTAGTCGGTAATAAATAAAATATTTTATGATTTTTTTCGTCGTCTGTTCTATCCTTACAGCCAGCTACACACATGCTCCTGACTTTTGGACAGCTGGCTCCCACATGATGTCGACTGAATGGGCGTGGGCAGGGACGGATGAGGAGATTGAGACGTTCTACTGGGGCCCGGGGGAGCCCAACAACTCGGGAGCCATTGAACGTTGTCTGTCATTCTATACGCGGAAAAACTTCACCTGGAACGACGAACACTGCTCGTACCCCGGATACCCGTTGTGTGAGAAAGTGTGAGTGTCCATTAGATCTCAGGTTCAAGTATCATTCAGTACCAACATGCGGCAAAAAACAACACCTTTACCACTTCAAGAATGAAACTGCAAAATGTTTAAATGACCCAAGTGTACACTAAACCAATCCAAAACACGTCGTGTAACACAACAGCGCTCCGTGCAGAAAGTGCAACACCACTACATCATGTTTCGTTAAAGAATACGTGAAAATGTGAAAAAAGAAAGAAAAAAAAAGAGAAGAAAAAACACATGCCGCTTCGGCAGCAGAAACTACACAAGTAATCAAAGTGTATAAATGATACAGACGGCATGCGAGACACTCCCATGACAAAGAGGAGAAAAAAAAGAAAAAAAAAAGACAAAACATAACTACAAAAACCCACAGCACTGAACTGCCACGATTGACACCCCATCAACGTTAGCAAGCCCTAGGTATGATAGCTGATGGGGGCCATCCATGCCCACATTGCTAGATCGTTTGTAGTATATATATAGTTAGTCGACAGGGGGCAGTTACTGACAAAATAACAACGTCGCCAGAGATTGAGGTAGGCCGAGACTGTACGCTGTTGGCAGCGACGTGACTGGCTGAGGGATGTATTCACTGATGAAAGCCGGCTCTGTCTGTTCAGAGCTGGCGACAACGACCACATATACCAGCCAACCAACAAGAGCTGATCCTAGTATTCCAGATCGCCTCCGTGGTGTAGTGGTTAGAGCGTCCGCCAGGAGAGCGGAAGGTCGTGGGTTCGATCCCTGGCCGCGTCATACCAAAAGACGTTAAAATATGGCACTTGTTGGTCCCTACCTGGCGCTCGGCATTAATGGGTACAACAAGGACTGGTCGGCTCGGAGTCAGTATAATGTGTCTGAGTGGGGTATTCATGCTTCACTGCGGCATGGTATCTCAGTGAGCTAGCAGTATAAAACCAGCTTAAGTCTGGGCTAGTACAAGTAGCCACACATACACATACACACGCATGCACGTCGTCATATGAGCGGAATAAAGTACGACGTTAAACCCAATTTCACCTCACCTCACCTCACCTCACCTCAAGACGGTGTGAAAACACAACGGTCAAGTTTACACTTTCTTTTTCCAAGCATTTAATAAATCATCACCATCATCATTCTTCATAATTCAACTAACCTTGGGTATGCCAGGATCACATGGACCCTGTTTTGAATCAGAGTAGCACTCAATATTATCCTGTGTTGGGAGGACCAAAGCTGTTTTAGTTAGTTGAAAAAATAAGATTATGTCTGAGATTTGTTCTGTGTGATACATTTATTTATTCACATTTACATTTCTGATGTCTAACGGAACTCCTTGTTTTCGTTTACAGACTTCAGCTCATGCCTGGAAAGTGAATTTACCATTCTGTACCAAATGAAATAAACCTTGTCTTCAAAACGAAATCGCTTTTAAGTAGATAACTACACTGAAAGGCAAACGAAACGTAGTAATATTGGAAATGCCATTTAAGTATCAATGGAGTGTTTGAACCTATTTTTAAAATATACATCGGAAGTCAAGTTTGAGGAAAACATGAATCGTGGTCGTACAGCCTGTTTTGCCCCATAAAGTATTGTTTGAGATTGAGGGTTAGAAATGTTTTTGTTTGTGTAAAGGGAAGAGTTTACACACACACACACACACACACACACACACACACACACACACACACACACACACACACACACACACACACACACACACACACACACACACACACACACACACACACACACACACACACACACACACACACACACACACACACACACACACACACACACACACATAGATTGCCGACTTGAATGGCAATCGTTCACTTGTTTTCTGAACACAGCAGCTATGGCTAGGTTAACGAGAGATAACGACAACAAGCCATTGGACGTCTTCACGCTGGTCAGCGTGCTCGAGTCATTGCTGATGACTTCAGTTGCAGTGTGCGAACTATAGAACGTCTTAGACAGCGATACAACGCCACCAACAGCACTGATGACCGTCCAAGTAGTGGTCGACCCCGTGTAACAACACGTCGCCAGGGCCGTCATATGTCGCCCGGACCGTCATATCCTCTATGAACAGAATAGGCCTGAATCCTGAAACGTGATTTCGATTAGCCGTCAATCTTTTCCTTGAATTGTTCAATCCATACCAATTTTAGTTATGCTGTTTTACAATATCCTATCACAGAGGCCAACACAAGAAAAGTACCTCAAGTCATGAAGGAGATCGTACCCTAGCCTTTGGCGGGACGATCGAACTATAGTCTGTTTGCAGTGAAAACTTACCGATGAATTTCACTTTAAACTAAAATGTAAATCAAATAAAGTGAAATTACGATTGCAAATCCTCGTAATTTTACCTTTACCTTACCTAGTTTCAAATCGCTATTATTGATTTGTATTACAAGGGGGTATACACATTAAATGAAACACCGAGAACAAGTTGGGTTGGTCTAAGCTAACGCTCATCACGTACCGCACGTGCATTTGTTTCACTGTTCCAACTACTGCGCTTACCCCCTTGTAGTACAAACCATATGCATTCAAAGCGATTTGAAACCATGATCGTTTGTTAAACAACTTTTATCCGAAGTTGAATAAAATTCTGACTTTTATAAGTGCAGTTGACAAGGTAAAATTATGAGGAATTGCAATTATAATTTCTCTTTATTTGATTAACTTTTTTGTTTAAAGTGAAATTCATCGGTACGTTTTCACTGACTATAGGCAGCATTCGCGATATCCCACTAAACATCCTCTGTGTGCGTGTACACATGCGTTGTGCTTGTGCGTGTGCATGTGCGTGTGCATGTGCGTGATTCATTATATACTAGTCCACACATCTGCCATCACACCTTGGTTTATCACTCTAATGCCAGGAAGGCTAACAACAAATACCATAATTTGGAATGAGGCGGCCACGGGATCGAACTACTGATCTCCGCTCTTTGGACAAACGCTCAGTCCACTAGGCCACGGATGCGGCTCCACATTGACAAAACGATACCTTACCTATTCAAGGTTGTTATAAAAACACTCTTCAAAAAAATAAAAAAAGAAGAAAAACAAAGAAACGCACAAGCCATTTTAGAAGTATTTATTGCGTTAGTTTAAGAGCAATTATTTCATGGAATTTCATTGGTAAATATGGTGAAATGGTGAAACTTCACACGTCTAAGACAAGCAGTTCGCCAACACAACAGCAGCCTTTATTGTTGTGTTTCTGTGTTACGTGAGTCCACAAGATGGCGTCAAAGTCAATACTTTGTATGGCCACCATTGGCAGCAATTACTGCTCGACACAGACTCGGTACAGACTTGATAAGTCGACGAAGTCGCCCTTGCGGATTTCTTCACCACTCTTCCCGCAATACGATGGCCAGTTGTGAAAGTGTCTGAAGCGTGTTTTGACATACACGTAGTGTTCACCATATGGATGTTCTATCGGGTTTAGATCTGGTGATCGGGAAGGCCATGACAAGACATTGACGTTAGAACTGGCAAGGTAGCCGATCGTGACGCGTGCTGTATGTGAAATGCGTTGTCATACAGGAATACCTCCCTCTGTTGGTCCATAACCGGAAGCATGTGACGTGCAAGGACTTCGTTGATGTACCGATTTGCTATCAAATTCCCTGAACCATCACTAAATCAGATCTTTGTGTGGATATCGAACCCTACACCATGACACTGCCTCCACTGAATCTGTCGACCTGTCTCCGACGGTAAACAAGCTGTCGTCCATCTCGCCGGTGAAGAAAAAAAATTCATCACCGAACCAGACTCGCCTCCAGTCTCTAAGGTTGCAGTTCCTGACTCTATAACACCACCACAATCGATTGAGCCGATGGAAGTCTCTTAAAAGAGGGGCAACAACCTGCCTTCTTGGTCGAATCCCCACTTCACGCAATCGACTCCTGACAGCTCAGTCAGAAATTCTTCTGAAACCAGGGATGCGTTGTGCAGTCTCCACATCTGTGGCAAGACGATGACGCAAGTGTAGCCCGGATGTAGACTCCCCAGCTTCAAGGGGTCCTATGGCGATGTTTTGATTGGCGGCACTCAGTCGTGGCGTGATGATTTCCACTTTTCCACGCCCGTGAAGATCCGGGTTAGAATATTGATCTTCAGTAACCCATGCTTGTCGTAAGAGACGACTGACCGGATCGGGTGGTCAGGCTCGCTGACTTGGTTGACACATGTCATCGGTTCCCAACTGTGCAAATCGATGCTCATACTGTTGATCACTGGATTGTGTGGTCCAGACTCGAATATGTACAGACTGCCGCCATATAGCTGGAATATTGCTGATGTTTGCACAATGTGTGCCTCTTTACAGTGATTAATACCGCATGCTTTTCCGCTTACTTGCACGTGCATTTTGCTTTGCAAGTTTTCTTGGTGACGTTCGGGCGAATATTTCTTCAAACGCTTCTGAAAAGATGACGTTTTGGAAAGAAAGAGTATATTTGTATTGTTTTTGCCGCAGCTACATGAGTTCAATATTCATAAAATCACCTATGCGTTTTTTTTTGAAGAGCAAGTCTGGCTCAGGCAAACCAACGGTCGATAGCATGACCAACGATCCATGCGACCATCAGCCACAATCCACATTTTAGGACAATCAGTAACACTGACCGCGTCGGGTGGAACAAAGCGGTAATGATACTGTTAACCTTATCTGATCTTATTGTGCCTTTCATACCCAGAATCATCACCTGGAATCACTCCTTAGCCACACGGACTGTTGACCTTTCACGGGTTTATCAAGATTTGGTTATTGGTAAAAACAACAATAATAATAATTATTCATTCGATACGGACTGGGGGACAGACTACCCCAATTTGAGTGGACGTAAGCATCAACATCAACGTTAACATGTCCAAATACTTCGGGCGTCTTTGGATAGCCTAGTGGTTAAGCGTTCCCTCGTCACGCCGAAGTGAGACATCATCAGAGTTACGAAGATTATAGTTTTAGATGCTACGTTCCCTGGAACAAGATCATTCAGGTACGATGGTGCCATATTACTCTGTATTTTGTTAAAAAGACAAAGGTACAATGCGTGAAGCCCATTTCTGGTGTCCCTCGTCGTGATTGCTGAAATTGCTGAAACATTGCAATGAATGGCATAAAACTAAACTCACTCACTTACACAAATACCTATACAAAAAACAACAACCAATACATCACAAGGTCAATGTAATTCCATTACCCTAATTTAACATGTTTACGAAGGTTTTCGACCCCCTCTGTTTGTCTCGTGTCCTCATTACTTTTATGATACATTTTCTTCCTCTGTCGAAAAAGCAGTTTCACTTCCGCTCACTAACTTAGTTCTCTCGCTTATGACCATAAGTTGATTGGATGGCATTAAATCGATCCCGAAATTGGACAATATAGTGACGGTTGGGTCAAGTCTCGGATATGCATATATTATAGTCGGTCATAGAGGATGGTATATAACTAGGGCTGCGCAATATAACCGGTTTACCGGTATTTACCGGTTCAGACATGAAAACGATACGTATTGCGATACGCTGATCAAAAACCGGTATTTTGACTTGCATTCGGAAAACTTCGTAACACTCGGAAATCTTCGGATATTTCCTTGTTTCATTTGTGCCAAATATTATTTACATTTCTATTTTGTCATGATTAAAGGTTGTTGTTAAAGCTTAATCAAGCATAGTTTTTTGTGTGTGTTTTTGCTCTAAAAATCAAGCTTTAACGCGATTATAAGTAGTTCTTTGTTTAAAAATACTTCTTGCAATATATTACAATACATATCGCAATATATGCTTTCGCATCGCAATATATCGCAGTATGAAAATTCTCTGCAATACCCACCCCTATATAACACAACATGACCTCGGTAGGTTAGCATGTCCGAGTCTATTAGTGGAGGCTATCTTGTTCAAGATGGCGGCGTTCTTTCCACACCTGTTGTTTCTGACTGCGGCGAGTTGTAAGTAGACATGATGTTGTTGTTTACAGTAGGTGTTTTGTTTATTGTTTATTGTACACTGAGCAGTGCCCCATACATGACGGCGACCTGAAAATATCGGAATCAAACCCAGACAAACCATTGATGGATATTGTAAACAACAGCCCCGTCGGGCAATTTCGAGCTAAGTGAGGGGAGGTGAGGTGAGGTGAAATTGGGTTTAACGACGTGCATGCGTGTGTATGTGTATGTGCGGCTGCTTGTACTAGCCCAGACTTAAGCTGGTTTTATAGTGCTAGCTCACTGAGATACCATGCCGCGGTGAAGCATGAATACCCCCCACAGTATACTGACTCCGAGCCGATCAGTCCTTGTTGTACCCGTTAATGCCGAGCGCCAGGCAGGGACCAACAAGTACCATATTTTAACGTCTTTTGGTATGACGCGGTCGGGGATCGAACCCGCGACCTTCCGCTCTCCGGGCGGACGCTCTAACCACTACACCACGGAGGCGGCCTTCGGGCTAAGTCAATTCAAGCGCTATAAGGATTGACTTGGAATGAGACCGCACTGAGTGACAGCTGAAATTAGTACTAGCTGACAAATAATCGGCGTAGACGTAAGCAGTGTGCGAAATTGACTCTGGCCCGCTAGCCCGTGGATAGTAAAAATCCAGTCGGGTCAGTAAATCTCCACAGTCACTGGCCCGACTGGCTTGTGAATTTTCATGGGGTCATTTTGTAAATATATCACTCTCTCCGACTATTTAAGTGATAGTACACTTTTAAAACTTTTTGCAGGATTATGGCCTGATAAAAAGTGTTCATCATATTAGCAGCTTAATGAAACCTTTGTCTACATTCATATTTCGGGCTAGAGAATTATTTTGTTGACCAGTAACTTTAAGGCATAGCTAGCCCGACTGGCTAGCAAAATTTGGAAACTATCTCGCACACTGGACGTAAGTATCGGGTATTGTTCTGTCCGTCTTATCGACTTAAAAGGCTTCATGCTGGGCCACACTGTAATTAGCAGCTAAATGAAACCTTTGTCTACATTCATATTTCGGGCTAGAGAATTATTTTGTTGACCAGTAACTTTAAGGCATAGCTAGCCCGACTGGCTAGCAAAATTTGGAAACTATCTCGCACACTGGACGTAAGTATCGGGTATTGTTCTGTCCGTCTTATCGACTTAAAAGGCTTCATGCTGGGCCACACTGTAATATGCTTGTTGGCTTACAGTTCATGTGCAGTGATGTAAGGCTTTCCTCCAGAGGTGAGAGCTCGGAAAGCTTGTTCGACATGGTGAAACCCAGAAACCTGCTGAACGACGGCAATGAAGTGGGCGAAACTGGGGTTCGATCTTCTATTCCTGTCACTGTTAAGGGACACAACTCTGTAGCGACTGAAGCGCCTGTTGACGATAAAATTGTATATAGAGCAAATAGCGATAGTGAAGGTTCATCTTTACTGGACGGCATCTGTCGTAACTCTATCAACCATTGGAATCTCTTTAATGGACTTGAGTGATTGTAGTTTCAGTCGTCTTCGGCTGCCCCAACGGCTTTGTCCGCCATGATGACTCCTGCTACAAGGTGTTTCCTGAGAAGGCCACCTGGCCGGCAGCTGTGGTACGTATGACGTCATCAGGGTACCTACAGCCAAGCTGCTATTAAATCGACATACATTCGGCTTTGATTAGCATGCAGGTTTGACAAATTGATTTTCTCAAGTATTTATTAAGCAGTAAAGCAGAACCCTCGAGAAATTGAGATTATCTCCCCTGCTTATCATGCAGTAAATAACATTACTGAATGACCCTTACTCAGTAACATACGGGCGCCGTTGGGTTTGGGGGCCAACCATAGTCACCTTGTCTCGAAGTATCGTAGCAGGGAAACAGTGTCAACTATTGACCTTGGTCATGTCAACTGAGCATCTGGAGGAGACGTTTACTGACATCCTGCCCCCCAAAAATTAAAAAATATAGCATCTAGAATGAAATTACATGTACTTGCATTGCAACTTTATTTTTTTCAGTGGCCAATTCTTGACAGTTTTTGTTCGAAACACAATTTGTGTTGGGCTCAAAAGACGTGATAACTCTGAACATCCTATCATCCTTTGATTGGGTGGTGGGGTAGCCTAGTGGTCAAAGCGTTGGCTCGTCACGCCGAAGACCCGGGTTCGAATCCCCACATGGGTACAATGTGTGAAGCCCATTTCTGGTGTCCCCCGCCGTGATGTTGCTGGAATATTGCTAGAAGCGGCGTAAAACCAAACTCAGTCAGTCAGTCATCCTATGATTAGAAGTGTCCAAAACAATCCCAGAGAAAATGTTAACCTCGTCACAGCACCCTCCCACTGAGAACTACCCTTCCACAAAGACCCACCATCGCCATCATCTTAAGCCTAACCCTCCCCCTACCCAGAGTATCCAACAGTCGACCCCTAAAGACACGGGGGAGGGGTTGGGTTGGTTGAAGGTAGCTATCTGATCCACTCCAGTCACTAGGGAACACGTATGTAAGATGCACTGCCTGCTACTCAAACGTTGTCTTCACTGTAGGCGTACTGCAAAGACTTCGGACTGAACCTGGCAAAGGTGGAGAGTCAGCGAGAACACGACTTCCTGAAGAACTATGTGACATCCATCAAAGGTGCGTGCAGTCTGGCAGTAGCTGGATATTATCTTAGGAAACATTTCACGTAGCATTTTTCAAATCAATCTGCGTTTTTACTTGCGTCACGAACACTCTCCCTGACACCCAACCCGATACTGTTAGTCGCCTCTTAAGACGGGCATGGCTTGCTGAAGACCAGTTCTAACCCAGATCTTCATGGGTTCCTGGCATTTCACTGTAGATAGCGAAGAAGGAATATAATTGTGATCTGAGACCTGATTTCCCTCACTCACTCTCCCGACAGCGCTGTACCCAGGCTCCGTGGACTTCTGGCTGGACGGGACCAACATGCTGTCCGGTGATTGGATATGGGCGTCTACAGGGGAGACAATCAAGCAGTTCTTCTGGCGCCAAGGGGAACCCAACAACCTGTCTCCAGGGGAACGCTGCCTCTCCATGCATGCCGACTACTCCTGGGATGACGAGCACTGCAGCTATTCAGAAGCCTTTATATGCGAAGTCGAGTGAGCTTATTTACAGCAACAGTGAACTACGTTTGTAACGAACTAACAGATATAACGAACATTACTTGGTAATATGTTGCATATTTTAATATAAATGCGTCTAATGGCTAATGAACTAAAATCAGTGGCCCCTTTAAGATCGTAATAACCATAGGTTAATGCATATGATTACAAGGCACATACGCGCATTAATTGCCGGAAGACAACGAAGGGAAGGTGCACGACAATAACTCATGGTGGCTTAAATATAAAACAAACACGAATTGGTTATTCAACGGTAATTATTTACACTCCAATAAGATTCTAACGGTTGCAATATTTCAGCGACTTTTACCAACCTAGTAAAGTTTGGAGAATGTTTGTACATTTCAATTTCCATATTCAAGTGTACATCCGGCCGTCAATATAGGAACGCACAAATGTCATTGTAATCCAAACAAAAAGAAATCTTTACAGATCTGGTTTTCAAAATACTTAAAATTTTGAGCCCTACCGATTGAAAATATTAATATTGTATCACGCCAAATATAGCAATATCGGTGATGTTATCTCGGGTGTTGGGTTACCAGGGTTACCAGACCTGTGACCACCATGTTTACCATTTCCTTGAGGACCTACCTCCCAATTCACAGAGTTTGATCCATTCATCTTGGAAACGGTTAAGCGCCACACACAGCCCGCAGTGTTGTGTTCAGTGTGCAAAATTGCCACTGGTCCGCTATCCCGTGGCTAGTAATAATCCAGTCGGGCCAGTAAATCTCCACTGTCACTCACCCGACTGGCTAGTGAATTTTCATGGGGTCATTTGTAAATATAGCACTCTCTCCGACTACGTAAGTGACAATACACTTTTATATCATGCAAGATTATGGCCTGATAAAAAATGTTTATCATATTACAGCTTAATTATGAAACCCGTGTCTACGTTCATATTTCGGGCTAGTGAATTATTTTGTTGGCCAGCAACTTTCAGGCATAGCCAGGAAAATTTGGAAGCTACACTGGTTGTATTCAGCATGGAAATATATACATGCAGCGTTAAGAATACTTTTAGACATCATATGCAACGTCCCAGGCCGTCAGTGTATCACAGTATCAGTACCACAACACCCAGGACCAGTACCACAACACCCAGTACCAGTACCACAACACCCAGTACCACGACACCCAGTACCAGTACCACAACACCCAGTACCAGAACACCCAGTACAGTACCACAACACCCAGTACCAGTACCACAACACCCAGTACCAGTACCACAACATCCAGTACCAGTACCACAACGCCCAGTACCAGTACCACAACACCAAGTACCAGTACCACAACACCCAGTACCAGTACCACAACACCCAGTACCAGTACCACAACACCCAGCACCAGTACCTCAACACCAGCAGCAGTACCACAACACCCAGTACCAGTACCACAACACCCAGTACCAGTACCACAACACCCAGTACCACAACAAACAGTACAACACCCAGTACCAGTACCACAACACCCAGTACCACGACACCCAGTACCAGTACCACAACACCCAGTACCAGTACCAGAACACCCAGTACCAGTACCACAACACCCAGTACCAGTACCACAACACCCAGTACCAGTACCACGACACCCAGTACCAGTACCACAACACCCAGTACCAGTACCACAACACCCAGTACCAGTACCACAACACTCAGTACCAGTACCACAACACCCAGTATCAGTACCACAACACCCAGTACCAGAACCAAAACACTCAGTACCAGTACCACAACACCCAGTACCAGTACCACAACACCCAGTACCAGTACCACAACACCCAGTACCAGTACCACAACACCCAGTACCAGTACCACAACAACCCAGTACCAGAACCACAACACCCAGTACCAGTACCACAACACCCAGTACCAGTGCCACAAACGCAGTACCAGAACCACAACACCCAGTACCAGTACCACAACACTCAGTACCAGTACCAGAACACCCAGTACCAGTACCACAACACCCAGTACCAGTACCACAACACCCAGCACCAGTACCTCAACACCCAGGTACCAGTGCCACACACCCAGTACCAGTACCACAACACCCAGTACCAGTACCGCAACACCCAGTATCAGTGCCACACACGCAGCACCAGTACCACAACACCCAGTACCAGTACCACAACACCCGGTACAGTACAACACCCAGTACCAGTACCACAACACCCAGTACCAGTACCTCAACACTCCAGTACCAGTACCACAACACCCAGTACCAGTACCACAACACCCAGAACCAGTACCACAACACCCAGCACCAGTACCTCAACACTCAGTACCAGTACCACAACACCCAGTACCAGTACCACAACACCCAGTACCAGTACCACAACACCCAGTACCACAACACCCAGTACCACAACACCCAGTACCAGTACCACAACACCCAGTACCAGTACCACAACACCCAGTACCAGTACCACAACACTCAGTACCAGTACCACAACACCCACTACCAGTACCACAACACTCACTACCAGTACCACAACACCCAGTACCAGTACCACAACACCCCAGTACCACCAGTACCACAACACCCAGTACCAGTGCCACAACACTCAGTACCAGTACCACAACGCAGTACCAGTACCACAACACCCAGTACCAAATTGCCACAACACCAGTACCAGTACCACAACACCCAGTACCAGTACCTCAACACCCAGTACCAGTACCACAACACCCAGCACCAGTACCACAACACCCAGTACCAGTACCACAACACCCAGTACCAGTACCACAACACCCAGTACCAGTACCACAACACCCAGTACCAGTACCACAACACCCAGTACCAGTACCACAACACCCAGTACCAGTACCACAACACCCAGTACCAGTACCACAACACCCAGCACCAGTACCACAACACCCAGTACCACAACACCCAGTACCAGTACCACAACACCCAGTACCAGTACCACAACACCCAGTACCAGTACCACAACACCCAGTACCAGTACCACAACACCCAGTACCAGTACCACAACACCCAGTACAACAACACCCAGAACCAGTACCACAACACCCAGCACCAGTACCTCAACACTCAGTACCAGTACCACAACACCCAGTACCAGTACCACAACAGTACCACAGTACCAGTACCACAACACCCAGTACCACAAACCCAGTACCAGTACCACAACACCCAGTACCAGTACCACAACACCCAGTACCAGTACCCAACAATTCACAACAGTACCAGTACCACAACACCAGTACCAGTACCACAACACCCAGTACCAGTACCACAACACCCAGTACCAGTACCACAACACCCAGTACCAGTACCACAACACCAGTACCAGTACCACAACACCAGTACCAGTACCACAACACCCAGTACCAGTACCACAACACCCAGTACCAGTACCACCCAGTACCAGTGCCACACACCTCGTACCAGTACCACACCCAGTACCCCACTGCCAGTGTACCACAACGCCCAGTACCAGTACCACAACGCCCAGTACCAGTACCACAACACACGGTCTATCTGGATGATTAAGTCATGGAGTACATTTAGTAGGTTCTTCCAAACAGCATAGGCTGTTTGGGAACCCGAACGAGGTTATGATGAAGGTAACGAATGATACTCATGGTTTTGTTAAACTATGGCCATCACTATACAGATTGACAACAATCTTACGATATCTTATGGCTACGATGGTTTCTGAAATAGGAGTCTACGGTTTCCTTACGATAGCTTTGAGATCATTTTAGGTTTCGACAATCTAGGCCCAGTACATCACTTACAGCAAGGATGCATTCTGTCTGTAACTGACTATCACCTGAGCATGGTTTATATTGCCTTGCAGTGCGTCAGTCAACCCGGGGAATCTGTTCGGCTGAAGGACATACTTTACGAAGACGTCTTCCGTCTGTTTGTTTGTCGAATAAAACACATGCAGCATCGGTACGCTGCTGTTTTGAATTAACGTCGTGATTGTCAGTGTGTTCCATTATGGAAGCGTATTAGTGCAACATTCTCAAAAATAATATAATACTTTCAGTTACGTAAAGTTAAACGAGAGTAGGCGAGAGTAAGGGCAATGAATTTAGCGCTAATTGACTACTGCCTTTCCTGAAATGCTGGAATATTGCTAAAATTGGCGAAAACCCAACACATCGGATAATGCAACTGAAGGAGCCCAAACAGCTCAAATCCAAAATCACACGATATTAAAAAAGTGTTTAACTTTGGTTTTTCTCCGTATAGAGAGAACATCAAACGGCATGGAAAATATTATGTCATTGTTACTATATTTAGTTTACGAAATCCTGTTGTGTTAGTGTTATTTAAGAATTACAGTTCGCTCTACCACCATGTATAGTGTAATAAAGCACACTTTCGCCCTGAACTATACACTCAAGGCCCAAAAAGAGGCCCATTTTATTTTTGATATATGAAATTTATTCAACATTGATGAAATTTATTTTCTATTGTTTAACAATCGCCAAAACACACCAATAATGTTGTCATTAGGAAAAATTGACTTCGAGATAAAAAAAATCGTGAAATTTGTGCAAATGGTCAAATACACATATTTTAAGGAAAAAGGCCACACTACGTCAGAAAAAGGGGCATTTAACGACCGTTGGCATGACACGGACGTTGTGAAACAGGAAAACACTTTAGATATGCCTAGACTGTATTCAGAACAGCGTTAAAGAGTCATAGGAATGATAAGCACGGGAGCTTCTCATGCCCATGTCACAAGAACGTTCGGTTGTCACAGACATACCATCTATAGACTTATTAAACGTTTCAATGAGACTGGCAGGACTGTTGACCGACCAAGGGCAGGTAGACCAAAGGTCACTACCCCCAGGAAGATCGATATCTACGAATTCTACATTTGAGGAATTGGTTCCTGACAGTTTCGGAATCGGCATCAACGGCACTCGGTCGAGTTGTCAACAGACACACAGTTAGACGACGACAACAGCATGCCGGAATTCGAGCCCACAGACCATTCTTGGAGCAATGCTGACACGTCAACATCGCCTGAACAGGTTGATCTGGGCACGTCGTGTTCGACGATGGCAGCTTCGTGATTGGCGTAGGGTTCTATTCAGTGATGAGAGTAGATTTTGTTTATACCATAACGACGGTAGAACACGTGTGTATCGCCGTCGTGGTGAACGTCATGCCCCGTCATGCGTTGTGGAGGTACAGGCTCATGGCGTTGGAAGTGTTATGGTTTGGGGAGGTATCCGTGGCAAAATGAAGACGCAATTGGTTACAGTTCAAGGCAACCTGACAGCACACCAATACACTGACAAGGTGTTTCGTCCAGATGTGTTTCCTGTCGGTAATCAACACCAAGGGACATTATTTCAACAAGACAATGCTCCTGCACACACAGCTAGGATTGTGACAGACTTCATGCGAACCAATAACATCAACGTTTTGCCTTGGCCGTCTCGTTCCCCTGACTTATCACCCATAGAGCACCTCTAGGACTTTCTGGGCAGGCAAATCAGAATGACACTTAACCCACCAGCAAACCTGAGACACCTGAAGCAGGCCATTCATGAGGAATGGAGGAATATCCCAAATGCCTTCATTAGACGTCTCACAACGTCAATGAGACGTCGAGTACTTGCATGTATCAATGCAGAAGGAGGACACACAAGATACTAAGTAATGCACTACTAAACGTTGACAAATGTGTTTTAATCTGGAGTTCACAGATAGTGTTCAACACAACTGAAAACATGTAACTTTGCCCTTTGATACCAGTGTCATTTAATTCATTTTGCTTGAACATTACTTAGTGTTTGACGTGGTAATAGCCTCTAGATGTTTAGCAAGTGGCCTTACTATCAACATAAACAGATATGATATCAATGTTTTTGTCTGTGTTGATTTTTATTAAGATTTTAAGCACGGGCCACTTTGTTTTGGCCTTGAGTGTATATTATAGTTAAAGCACGAGGACAATCCTGTTGTGTTAGTGTTATATTAGTTCAACGATTTAACTTAAACGCTGACAATATCTACTTAAGTACCCTTTAAATACAGAGAAGTGTTTCCAGATTTAGACAGTGTCAGATAATGTTGTCGAGTATGGAGACCCTAGGGGTATATTTAGCGACGGGTAGAGATTGTATAAAAACAAAACACCACCACTATCGCCCTAACTCCGATAACAACCAGTACAGGAAGGGCAGCAGTCCTGGTGTATTTCTGACCCTTACCCTGAACGGATGTCGTCTGCTTTCACTGGACCACTCACCAGCGTCGGTCGCCTGACAACTGCAGTGGGTTTCTGAATGGTGTAACGTTTAACCATATAAATAGGACATGACGATTGATGAAGACTATGATGACTTGCTTTCTCAACATTCACGGCTTTCAACGGAAACTGAACTGTTACGATCGATATGATTGAGCTTTTCATCGGAGGTGTTTAGTTATCTATAGGACAAGGTGTATTCTTATCCGCTTGAGGTTTTATTATTCAGGGTGAAGCAATTTCGACTGATTTGAACGCATCTCAAGTGAAGTCTATGTTTAAGTGACTTTTCATCATCAACTTCAACAGCGACGTCGGAGATTGCTCTGAACTTCGTATTATATTTATCGTCTGCAACTTGTCGTCTGAGTTATGGGTTTGTCACTGGGAGAGGTTTTGTATACGTGTGGTCAAGTTATCTACTTATACTGGGAATCTTTCTGTAAGCTGTTGTTTCCCCCTGGACGCCGTGACGTCACAGGTTGGCGCGTGCTCATCACGGGTGGTGGTCATGGAATTGGCCGTGAGATGGCGTTGGAGTTTGGACGTCTTGGAGCTGACGTCATTCTCTGGGACATTAATGAGGTAAGTGTGTGAGAGAGAGAAATGGTAACGTATTTGATTGTGGTATAATACTTTTTCAGCCTAATAACTCGTTATAATGTTGTTGTCAATTCAAATTTCAAGCTTACACGGGGCGTTTGGGGTAGCCTAGTTGTTAGTAAGCGTCAGCTCGTCACGCATTTTAGCCGGGTTGGATTCTCCACATGGGTACAGTGAGTTACGCCCATTTCTCGTGTCCCCCGCCGTGATGTTGCTGGAATATTGAAAGCGGCGCACGACTAAACTTTCTCACTAACACTCCTGTTTTAAACAACTCACTCACTCGTTCACGACTGCTTAAAACTGACATTGTGTATTTTGTGAAAATTCCATGACGTCAGTCAATCCTGGAACGATGCATATCAAGTTTGCTTTTGTTATTCACTGTTTTTCCAGAAAGTGTACGGGTTAGGTGATGAAAATGTTTGGAATTGTTTTCCCAAATAACCCGATTATGGTGTACTTTCTGGTTTTTCTTGCACTTAGACTATTTCAATGGAGTATACAATATTTCTGCTCGATTTTGTTTGAAATGTAAAAATGGCAGTAGGTTCATAATGCATGCATAAATAGCATCCTGACCGTTGTGTTCTATGGAAATTATTCATTGATGGACACGTCTCGAATTGTTCGTCACGTCTCAAATCTTGGCGTCACATTAGTCTATTAAATACCTCATATAAAGTTGCATCTGCAGTAATCGCTAACAGAATTAAACCAATACTTCCAACAGTCATTAATGAAATTCAAAAGGGATATGTCACAGATAGATATATAGGGGAGGTAACTAGACTTATTTATGATATTATGGATTACACTGAAACATTTCAGGTCCCTGGATTGCTATTATTAATAGAGTTTGAGAAGGCTTTCGACTCAATAGATAGAAATTTTATTATGAATGTACTCACTTTCTTTAATTTTGGACCAAGTTTACAAAAATGGATTTCAATTCTCCTACATGATATAGAATCTTGTGTCCTCGTAAATGGTTACGGAAGCTCTTTTTTAAGATTACGAGAGGATGCAAACAAGGGGATCCGGTCTCGCCATTTATATTCAACCTTTGGGTAGAAATCTTAGCAATTATGATAAGAAAAGATAAGAAGATAAAGGGTATCAAGATGGGAAATATTGAAAGTATTCTAGTTCAGTTTGTGGATGATACTTCGTTAACACTAGATGGTACTGAAAAATGTTTCTACGTAGTGCTTAATGTTTTAACTGTTTTTGCAAGGTTTTTCTGGACTTAAAGTTAATACTGAAAAGACAAGACTAATATGGATAGGATCCAAAAAGGTCAAGGTACAAGCTTTGCAAGGAGTATAATCTAGATTGGTCACAATCAGAGTTTAATCTTCTAGGTATCAAATTTGATGTTGATCTAGAATCTATGGTAGACATTAATTATTCTGACAAGCTTGGGAAAATTGAGAGAGATATGAAAACTTGGGAATTAAGATTGTTAACACCTATGGGAAGAAACGTTGTGCTGAAATCACTACTACTGTCAAAATTAAATCATCTCTTCTCATCTATACCAAGCCCACCAGATGATAGGGTTCAATCTTTTCAGAAGAAATGCTTTAATTTTATTTGGAAGGGCAAGAAGGATAAAATTAAAAGAAAGGTTACTACTACCATTGTTGAATATGGAGGTTTCAATATTCCAATAGTGAAAAATATTATAAAATCCCCAAAACTTGCATGAATTTAAAGACTGTTATGTAAAAAATGTAACACTATATATTCCAAATATTCAGAAACTATGGTTCGCTGATGCTGTTTATATTAACAAATGTATGGTACCCAATGTTTCAAATGGATTCTGGAGGGAGGTTGTGGAGGCATGGTCTGACTGTTTAACAATTTGTTATCAGAATGAAATTAATAATACACAGGTCCTAAATCAATCACTTTGGCACAATAACAATATTTTGATCGGTGGCAAAACAGTCGATCACAGGAACTTGGAAGAAAAGGGAATAACATACTTGAGAAATATAGTTAATGTGGACGGTAATATACTGTCTTTGGAAGACCTGAATTATAAATATGATATAGAAGTTGATTTTCTTACATACCAAGGACTTAAAAGAGCAATCACTGGATATATACAAAAAAGGAATTTCACCTTTAAACATGTGGAGAACATACTTGCCTACCCTAGTTTTTACCTTATAATATCTCCAAAATAGTTAGTAGCAAACAGTTCTATAAAACACAATGTCAATTTTGTTTTCATAAAACAAATGGTCAATTAAAATGGGAAGAAATATTGGATAAAGACCTCCAACAGAAGGAATGGGAAAATATTAATTTGATGGCTAATCGATAAACCCAAAGCGTCGATCTAAAATGGTTTCAGTATAAGATAACTCAGAATATTCTGACAACTAATAATCACTTGTATAAGATTGGTTACATTGATTCACCTATGTGTTCGTTTTGTAAAAAGGTGCCTGAGAGTGTTATACATTTATTATGTGACTGTACCCATTCAAGCAAAATGTGGAAAGAGATGTCTAAATGGTTAGAGAGGTTGACTGAAGGATACATTGATTTAACACCAGAACATATTATTTTTGGTTTTAAGGGGAGAAATAAAAATCCACTTAATGCCATTTGTCTCACGGTGAAACAAAATATTTACAATATGAGCAGAAAAGGGAGAAAACCTAATTTTAAAAGCATCCGAAAAGAAATATTAAGTTACTATTAAGCATGCAAATTTATGGCCTTTACAAACGACAATCAACAATTGGTCCTCTTTTCACACGCTATTTTTAGACTTGTAGCTTAATATTTAATTGTAAATTTTACACATTAATGTAAAAATGATTTATACCTTGCAGGCGATTAGAAACAGTCAAACATGCAGTAGACGTTTTCATACACTGTACTATGTATACTTATGTACATGTATATGTAAACATCTGTTGAGAAATAATGGGTAATGTTAAATGACTTATACCTTGCATGTTACCAGATGCAGTCAAACATACACAAGTTGTAATTCATATACAATACGAAACAACACTATGTACCGATGCCTACCTATATATTATGTAGTTACCCAATGTTTCAAATAGATTCTGGAGGGAGGTTGTGGAGGCATGGTCTGACTATTTAACAATTTGTTATCAGAATGAAATTAATAATACACAGGTCCTAAATCAATCGCTTTGGCACAATAACAATATTTTGATCGGTGGCAAAACAGTCGATCACAGGAACTTGTAGTTATGCCTACTTATCTATATGTAATATCTGCAAAGAAAGAATGGCCAATGTAACACCGACTAAGGCCCTATGCCAAGCCTGTAGATACTACCTATTTATGTATGCCTTGTATATGTGAACATCTATTCATAATTATAATGTCATGTAAACATGTACTGGGAAATGAAAACATTGGTGGGCACGTCTCGTATTGTTACGACAGGAAAATATGGAGAACACTGCTGATGATGTTCGAGCCGTTGGCGCCAAAGTGTCTACCTATATATGTGACGTCAGCAGCGAAGACGCCATCAAGAGTGTGGCGGAAGTCGTGCGAGTGGAAGTCGGAGGCGTTGACGTGTTGGTGAACAACGCCGGGGTGTTGAATGGAGGCACCCTCCTAGAGATGACATCAGCAGACATTAGGAAGACGTTTGAGGTCAACACTTTAGCTCAGTTCTGGGTGAGCACAAGATCGGTTTTGGTTTTACTTTAAATTTTCAGCAACTACTGCCCATATCGATTGTTTCCTCTATAATTTAATTTTAATATATTTTAATAAAAAATAAATAAAAAAAAAATAAAAAAATGTTTTACGAATGGTAGAAGTATAAATGGTTTAGGGTTTGACGGGCATTGTTTTAATAGTGGAACATTAAAGAATCACCCTGGTCTGAGCACCTGATCCATCTGACCCCTCTTAACCAGTATATGTTTCTGGAGAGCTATTCTTCACCCAAACCCACGCGTGGGTTGACGTGAGACGATTGCGGGGCCGGTCACGACGTGTGACAAGTCTGATGGTGATGTATCGTACCCAACGCGTGGATCAATCAGGTTTCGACATGGACCATTTCTAATCTGCCCGTTCCACAAAAGAGATCTTAGCATTGCAGCTGTCGTCATCCCTTTTTTTTAACAAAGACTTGTCATCGTCTGGTACAAGGCTCTCTTCTTGTGTTGTTTGACCCGTGAAGACCCGGGCAAGAATTCATCTTCAGTAACCCATGCTTGTCGTAAGAGGCGACTGACGGGATCGGTGGTCAGGCTCGCTGACTTGGTTGACACATGTCATCGGTTCCCAGTTGCGCAGATCGATGCTCATGCTGTAGACCACAGGGTTGTCTGGTCCAGACTCGATTATTTACAGACCGCCGCCATATAGCTGGAATATTGCTGACTGCGGCGTAAAACTAAACTCACTCACTCACTCTTGTGTTGTTATGTGTGTATGGACGTGTCTTCTCATTCCTTGTAGACAGTTCGGGAGTTTCTGCCCGGGATGATAGATCGCAGCCACGGCGTTATCCTCAACATAGCCTCTGCTTCGGCAAAGTCGGGCACGGCCTACCTCGTCGACTACAGGTAAAACCTGGTTCCTAACATCACACCACTACTGTTACACGTTACGCAAACTAGCCATTCACGAAGCAGTTCTCAGTTCTAACCATATTTTGATAAAACCCGAGGACACATCATAATAACTTTCAGTCCTGTATAATGTGAAGGTATACGCTTGCGTGTGTGACTGAATATGGTTTTACGCCGATTTCAGCAACAATACCACTGCGGGGCATACCAGAAATAGGCTTCGCACATTGTACCCATATGTGGAATCGAACCCGGGTCTAATACATCACAATTTTTTGTTTCATTTTTAGCCACCATCACATTCTTTTGCCTGTCAGGTGATAGTACTATTGTGTGACTTTCCACTGTGGAACTGTTTACACATTTGAACACCTAACTAAGGATTTTGTCGGTAACTCTTTAGTGAGTGAGTGAGTTTAGTTTAGTATTCCAGCAATATCACGGCGGGGGACACCAGAAATGGGCTTCACACATTGCGCCCATGTGCCGAATCGAACCCGGATCTTCAGCGTGGCGAGCGAAAGCTTTAACCACTAGGCTACCCCACCGCCCCGTAAATCTTGGGACATCATGTAACACCATGTAAGCATGGAGAACGAGAAGCATGGGAGCATGTTATCTTTTGCATTTTGTAGTAATAACTAAAATGATTGGTGATGTTTACAGTTAAACTCAATTTCCTGTGTTTGAGAAATTGCCTTATATACCCTGCACCCATGGTAACCATTGTATATCCTGTCGCTTGGTAACAAGTAAGGTTCTATTGCAGTTCCTCCAAGGCGGCAGTTCTGGTGTTCTCCGAGGCCCTGGCGGAGGAGATGGCGTTGCTAGGTTACAGTGGGATACAGGTGACAGTCGTCTGTCCCGCCTTCGTTAGTACAGGATTGTGCCAAAACCCAAAAGACAGGTGGGTCGAACTTCCTTGTTAGATGTGCTGGAACTATTGGTTTTGCATTATTTATTGAACATAGGCCAAATCACCTGAGCCAGGTTTCATTATAACCCTTTCGTACAGTGAGTGAGTGGTTTAATGTGGCTTCACAATGTGCTTGAACTGCTGGGTTTCATTATAACGTTTTCGTACGAGTCAGTTAGTGAGTGGTTTAATGCTGCTTCACAAGGTAAACTGATATACAATAGAAAGTACACACCTTGGTAAATAAACTGACATACAAAAGAATGTTACACACCTGGTGCTTTTGAATTACCTTCCAAAAAGTGACGTAAGTGTTTTGAAAAGAGCTTTCACAGTGATATATAAGTCACAGACTTCCCTAATATGCTGCGAAAACACCATAGATATCGTGCCCAATTGCGAAGTTGCCAGTCAAAATCACAACACTTTTCAAATAATCCCTACACACCAGGTGTATACTTTCTTTTGTACGTCAGTTTATTTTGAAAAGTGTTTTGATTATGACTGACAAGTTCTTTTGCCAACACTGCACAGCGTTTGTTAGACACAATCAAAACAGGTATCAAAATATTACGTTAGTGTTTTTCATAAAATAATCCCAAAGCACCAGATGTATACTTTCTTTTGCGCCTCAGTATATGTACCGAGCTAGCATTCCGGGTTAGAACTGATCGCCAGCAACACAGAGGTCATTACAGGCGACAAAAACAACCAGTGGTCAAGCTTGTACCCCGAAGACGTTATTTATTATTTTTATTATTGGATATTTATATAGCGCACATATCCTCGCACTAGTGCATGCTCAAGGCGCTGGTATGTTTTTCTTCGATTACTGCACGTTGCTGTACCCGCAACTAGTTGTTTGCACGTATTCATGTGGCCACCATCTGGTCATATACCAACAGATTCGTGGGTTCTTTTAAGTGCACAGGTTTGTGTACAGTACACTAGGGGTTGTGACAACACTGAAAGAGTCTGCACACAAAGTTGACTCCTAGACGTGGACCGATGTTCACAATATCAATCACTAGATCGTCTGGTTCAGACTGGATAATTGACAGGACATCATCATGTAGTTGGAATAAACAAACAAGGTAAACGTTTACCGTATTTTCTTTCAGAATCAACCGTCTGCTGACTCCAAGGGAGACGGCCCTCGCCGCCATAGACGGCATGTTGAGAGGAGAGTTTGTAGTGCATGTACCGAAATCTCTATGGCTTGGACTGAAGTTTTCTGAGTAAGTGACCTTGTCGATAAAGATCAACTCGTCTCCCTGAGAGGTCCTCCAAATGTCATGCTAGTTTCCACTTCGGGGCTTCCAGAGCACAACAGGTACACGTTACCCCTCACTTGTCTCTTTTAGGATACCTGTGCAAGGTAGGTTCCTATAACTTATATATGTCTTTGTTTGGGTGGATTAATGACCAAATAGATCACCAGCTCCAATGCTTTCTCACCCCGCTGGTGGGGATTCTGACAATCAATGGAAAAACTGCACAATTATGGTGGCTTGTAAGTAAGGGTAAAATATACTTACGTTGTTCTTTGGAAATAATCCCCAAAGCACCAGTTTTACGTTGTCCTTTGAACATAATCCCAAAGCACCAATATTTACGTTTTTCTTTGGACATAATCCTAAAGCACCAATATACGTTGTCCTTTGAACATAATCCCAAAGCACCAATATTTACGTTTTTCTTTGGACATAATCCTAGAACACCAATATGTACGTTGACCTTTGGTAAAAAATCCAAAGCACCAATATTTCCTTTTTTCTTTGGAAATAATCATGAAGCACCAACAATTTCGTTGTTCTTTGGACATGATCCCAAAGCACCAATATTTACGTTTTTCTTTGGACATAATCTCAAGGCACCAATATTTACGTTTTTCTTTGGAAATAATACCAAAGCACCAATATTTACGTTTTTCTTTGGAAAAACCCAAAGCACCAATAATTTCGTTGTTCTTTGGACATATTCCCAAAGCACCAATATTTACGTTGACCTTTGGAAGAAACCCCAAAGCACCAATATTTCCTTTTTTCTTTGGAAATAATCATGAAGCACCAATAATTTTGTTGTCCTTTGGACATGATCCCAAAGCACAAATATTTACGTTTTTCTTTGGACATAACCTCAAGGCACCAATATTTACGTATTTCTTTGGAAATAATCCCAAAGCACCAATATTTACGTTGTTTATTGGAAATAATCCCATAGAAAGACGTAAATATCATTTTTCTTGACAAAACAGCACTATGACATTTCAATGATTCTACCTTTTTGGATTACTGATGAGTAACCACAAAGTAACCTGTAATTTAGCATCGCATTTAACATCTGGAATACCTGAGTCGAACATTTCAGTTTTCTTGCCTTTGAATTAGGAGCTTTCTCAGGTATTGTTGCAAATGTTTAAGCAAGACATGAGATCTTCACAGCATCATGGTAACATGAATTAATAAAGCCTGAAGAATAAAATGTCCCACTTTATTCAATGACTCATGTATATATGAAACACCTATCTTTCAGAATGCTACCAGAAAGAGCCCACATGAGGATCAAATCTTCCCTGAATCTGGGAATCGATCCCCAGTACTCATCTTCTGTCGCCACCAAGGTCAAGGGCAAAGAAAGATGTCAATGCATTAATGATCTCGATAACGTTCCTGCCGAAGATAATATTCATGGCCTTCAATAGATGGGTTCCCAGAAACTTGCCCCTCATGTGAGCATAATCTTCTGGTGTCCTTCAGAACACTTATCAAGGAGGTCATGGGATCGCCATGTTCAACAGTATTGTCATAGGCAGTCAATGGTACTGACAGTATTTGAACAGTATTTCAGTAACATGGCAAATGTGTGAGGCGAACCACGAATAGTGCAAATGGTTGATGCAAAAACTTAATGCTGGACACGTCATGGGGTTCCACATCATCAGGGCGTGAGTTGGACTTACCACTGTTTTGAACACAGTTTCAGTCATATCTGCTCCGATAGGTTAAATGTGCATTGTGTATGAAGGACAGAGCGTGGTATTGTCATGTTCACCATCTTGGGTGAGTTGGATGGTCATCTATATGGGGATGAAAGACATATGCATAGCAAGAGGTCATGAAGGGCATTTCATCCTGTGGACACATTCAGATGTCGTCATTAACAGCAAAATTGGGAAGACTGGGTTTGATCATGTCTGTAGCTGTAGAAATGCAATAATAGTCAAAAGTCTTTTAGGATCATTGCTTCATGAAAGCTCAAAATAGTTTTTAAAACGTACATTAAAAACTCGTATCACGTGTAGTTTGGAGTCTGTCCTTGTTTAACGCCACTCTTGGTAATGTTCTTATTGTGTGGTCGTAACCGATAATAACCGACAGAAACTGATGTAGCCAAATTGATGGTAGACTAGATGATGAATCCTTGAGCTGGGGGATATGTTGTCAGACCTGATATCAGTGCCCCCGGGGCTCTGTAACGCCAATGCAGGGGCGGTGTGGTAGCCTTGTGGTTAAAGCGTTCGCTCGTCACGCCGAAGACCCGGGATCGATTCCCTGTATGGGTACAGTGTGCTAAGCCCATTTCTGGTGTCCCCCGCCGTGATATTGCTGGAATATTGCTAAAAGCGGCGTAAAACTGAACTCACTCACTCACGTAACGCCAATGCATCAAAGTTGTTGTTACAACAATGGGCGAGTGAGTTGGATTTAATGACCTATTGAAAGAGTTAGACACTGTACCCATGCGGGGAATCGAACCCGGGTCTTCAGCGTGACGAGTAGACGCCTAACCATTAGGCTACCCACCGCCACTTAACGACCTATTAAAACGTATTTCAGTTATATCATGGCATGCCATCTTCATGTTGGATGAAAGGCTGCCGTGATGCTGCTCTTTGTCCTTTCACCGCTTCATGCTTCACTGCGGCATGGTATCTCAGTGTGCTAGCACTATAAAACCAGCTTCAGTCTGGGCTAGTACAAGCAGCCGCACATACACATACACACGCATGCACGTCGTCATATGAGCGAAATATTCTCAAGTACGACGTTAAACCCCATTTCACCTCACCTCACCTGTTGTCCTTTACCATTATGGCGAAGCCCACCAGCCCAAGTATGGTGTTGACAACGTAGAAACACAATCGTGTCGAAGCGTGATTTCAACCCACCATCATAGGTTTCTGTTGCGCTCAAGGCCCACACTGCTCAGCGAATTGCGGAGCCATTGACGACTGAACCAGCCAGATCCTTCTATAGTTGTTTAGGTTACACGTCACTCCAGCTTTTGTTTTCAGTACTGACCGAAAAGACCGTGAATATCCGGGTTAGAACTGATTTTCAGCAACCCATGCTTGTCGTAAGAGGCGACTAACGGGATCAAATGATCAGGCTGGCTGACTTAGTCGACATATGTCAATGTATCTCTTTAGCGTAGATCGATTTCCACGATGTCAAACTCTAGATTGTCTGGTCCAGATTTATTAGCAAACCACCCTCCTATAACTGGAAGATGCGTCGTTAGACAACAAAGTTGATGGAAAATCCAGTGTTCCAGTTTTCATGTTTGACACTTTGTGTTCACCCAGTTCCTATACTAATGGGTTCGAATCTCATATTGGTTTTGCGACTGATGGTTTGTAAGCAATATCACCCGCAGTCTTTAATGTCGGCTTTTATCCATCTAAAGCTGCATCACTTCAACTGGAAAGACTTCATTAAATATCACTCATCATTTTAAAGCATATTGGTCACATAAAGTCAGTGTGTCTTCAATTCAATCAAACAAATCATGTTTTTATCATCAATTGAAAGATATTTTATTTTTCAGGTTATTTTTTTCCCCGAGACTCTAAGAGATAAGATAAGATCAGACTTTATTATCCACGGAGGAAATTTGGATTACATTCATAAGAGCTCTGGAGCATTTAACGGGCATAAAATATGACATTGACAATATTAAAACACAATAGTAATATTAAGTTGACAACAGCAATGTACATTATTAACACAAATATTAAACATGTAAAAGTTATGCTCATGCACTTAAGGCAATGTACGCAGTAAAAAAAGGGAAAACACGTGAGGAGTAAAATGTTAAGACTTATTAAGAAGTTTGATGTTGGATGGTACAAATGATTTGGAGGTTCTGTTACTTTCGTAAAGAGGAATTTTGAAGCGGCGGCCAGAAGAAAGTAGTTCAAAATGATTATGTAAAAGTGGGACGTATCAGCCAGAATTGCAAATGCTTTCTTTTCAACCCCGGACTCATGTAAGGCAGTCAAATTATGGAGGGAATGCCACAATTTTTGCTTGGAAGCAAAACCAGACACTATCAAGCTCCATAAGCCTCATTACAAAAGCAGACACATAAGCTCCAGTGCCCATGCCTTTAAGCAGACACATAAGCTTCCCAAGCCACATAACTTTACAAGCAGACACATAAGCTCCCATGCCTTTACAAGCAGACACATAAGCTCCCATGCCTTTACAAGCAGACACATAAGCTCCCATGCCTTTACAAGCAGACACATAAGCTCCCATGCCTTTACAAGCAGACACATAAGCTCCCATGCCTTTACAAGCAGACACATAAGCTCCCATGCCTTTACAAGCAGACACATAAGCTCCCATGCCTTTACAAGCAGACACATAAGCTCCCATGCCTTTACAAGCAGACACATAAGCTGCCACATGCAGACACATAAGCTCCCATGCCTTTACAAGCAGACACATAAGCTCCCATGCCTTTACAAGCAGACACATAAGCTCACATGCCTTTACAAGCAGACACATAAGCTCCCATGCCTTTACAAGCAGACACATAAGCTCCCATGCCTTTACAAGCAGACACATAAGCTCCCATGCCTTTACAAGCAGACACATAAGCTCCCATGCCTTTACAAGCAGACACATAAGCTCCCAAGCAGACACATAAGCCATGCCTTTACAAGCATGCATAAGCTCCCATGCCTTTACAAGCAGAGACAGACACATAAGCTCCCATGCCTTTACAAGCAGACACATAAGCTCCCATGCCTTTACAAGCAGACACATAAGCTCCCATGCCTTTACAAGCAGACACATAAGCTCCCATGCCTTTACAAGCAGACACATAAGACCCATGCCTTCACAAGCAGACACATAAGCTCCATGCCTTTACAAGCAGACACATAAGCTCCCATGCCTTTACAAGCAGACACATAAGCTCCCATGCCTTTACAAGCAGACACATAAGCTCCCATGCCTTTACAAGCAGACACATAAGCTCCCATGCCTTTACAAGCAGACACATAAGCTCCCATGCCTTTACAAGCAGACACATAAGCTCCCATGCCTTTACAAGCAGACACATAAGCTCCCATGCCTTTACAAGCAGACACATAAGCTCCCATGCCTTTACAAGCTCCCAGAGGCAGACCATAAGCTCCCATGCCTTTACATAAAATGCCTTTACAAGCAGACACATAAGCTCCCATGCCTTTACAAGCAGACACATAAGCTCCCATGCCTTTACAAACAGACACATAAGCTCCCATGCCTTTACAAGCAGACACATAAGCTCCCATGCCTTTACAAGCAGACACATAAGCTACCATGCCTTTACAAGCAGACACATAAGCCATGCCTTTACAAGCAGACACATAAGCTCCCATGCCTTTACAAGCAGACACATAAGCTCCCATGCCTTTACAAGCAGACACATAAGCTCCCATGCCTTTACAAGCAGACACATAAGCTCCCATGCCTTTACAAGCAGACACATAAGCTCCCATGCCTTTTACAAGCAGACACATAAGCTCCCATGCCTTTACAAGCAGACACATAAGCTCCCATGCCTTTACAAGCAGACACATAAGCTCCCATGCCTTTACAAGCAGACACATAAGCTCCCATGCCTTTACAAACAGACACATAAGCTCCCATGCCTTTACAAGCAGACACATAAGCTCCCATGCCTTTACAAAACACACATGCCTTTACAAGCAGACACATAAGCTCCCATGCCTTTACAAGCAGACACATAAGCTCCCATGCCTTTACAAGCAGACACATAAGCTCCCATGCCTTTACAAGCAGACATAAGCTCCCATGACAGACATAAGCTCCCATGCCTTTACAAGCAGACACATAAGCTCCCATGCCTTTACAAGCAGACACATAAGCTCCCATGCCTTTACAAGCAGACACATAAGCTCCCATGCCTTTACAAGCAGACACATAAGCTCCCATGCCTTTACAAGCAGACCACATAAGCTCCATGCCTTTACAAGCAGACACATAAGCTCCCATGCCTTTACAAGCAGACACATAAGCTCCCATGCCTTTACAAGCAGATGCGTGTGGCCGATTCATATGAGGCAACCGTCGGCTTGCGAAACAATGAATGTTGGCTCACAGTTTGCCTGTTCTTGACAATCTGAATAAGTTCAAAATGGAAAGAGTTCACAGAGGATTTGTATATGTTTGATTGGGACTGTTTAATGTATCTGGTAAGATGTTAACACCTCCGCCGTAACGTCGCTCCTATAGTAATAAAGAAGATGTTCATCCATATATTCTTAACCTTTTCACATCGTCCAGAATCAATACTTGAACTATGATTTCAACGTCTCTAATCGTTATTTATTACATGGTCATTCGACATGGATACGTATTTTACCCACAATCACAACAAATATAATTAAAAGGCTTTATTTTTATTTCTAACAAATGCAAAGGGTTTGAGCTTCCCTGATCTTGGCGTTATCCACTCTGCATTATGGATTCCTTATCAGCGAGCGATGACAGTTATAACTCGCGGGGGAGGAAATATGAGCATGCTGTGGAAAGATCTTGCAAGGTAACGCTTCTCCTGGACGTCATAGAACATCACACGACTGAAACAATGTAGGCATGTTTATCATCCCAGACTGTGTTCCACGGGAGATATCGCTTGTTCATATGATATCTCCTAGGAGATATTTTTTATCAGTAGTTTTTGTATAATGCCCTGACAATGCTATGGCGTCATGAACTTGATGACGTCACAATGCTATGACATCGCTCCAATGCAAGTCTAACGGTAGTACAGTGTTGAGACATGTTCATTTTTCATTGAAAACTACATGGAGAATGATTTTTGATAATAAATAGAAACTCATCCTCGTGTCTACTGATATCAATTATATCAACACTCGTTGATAAAGGCAACAATTTGTAACTTTATCAACTCGTGTTGTGTCAGCAGACACTCGGGTGAGATTCTCTATTTATTGACCATGCATAATTTAGCAATGTAATTAAATTGTCTGTTCAGTCTTC